GCTAGCCCAATCTGGGTTTACATTGGCAAGTGTCTTATTATCAAAGTAGTGTGTGTGTGTGTGTGTGTGTGTGTGTGTGTGTGTGTGTGTGTGCATGTGTGTGTGTTCTTTACCAACTCTAAATGAATTTCCAATTGAAGATAATGAGAAGGCTTCATAATGGAAGAAAATAATAGTCATATTTGCATGACTATGTTCTATGCCAAAATTTTATAGTAGTTCTTACATTTAATTCTCACAGGCATGCTAATGGGTGAAGGATCTATCTCAATTTAAAGAAATGGGGAAAACCAGGCTCTAAGACAGTGGTACTCAACCTTCCTAAACTGCAACTATTTGTGGTGACCCCCAACTATAAAACTATTTTCATTGCTGCTTCATAACTGTGATTTTACTAATGTAAATATCTGATATGCAAATCCAAGGGGGTCACGACCCACAGATTGAGAACCACCACTCTAAGACATTTGATAAGGTTGAAAATGTCACTCAGCTAGGTCTTGATGGAGCTCGAATTCAAGTGTAGTCCTGTAGGCACCTCACATTTATGTAACTTTCTGAACGCCCAATATGGCATGGCTTTAAGTATCACTGATACACCAATGACCTGATTTCCATTTCTAACCCTATGGATTCCTCTGAATTTTGTACTTGAAAGCTTAACATTGGTTTCACCATCAACATTTCCATATGAATGTGGGCGGCCCAAAACAGCTTGACCACACGGCTGCCATGGCAGGCTTAAGGGCCCAGACACAGCTGCTGTGACAGGCCTACTGGTAGGCAACACCTGGATCCAGGAAAAACCATAAGCTGACACCACCCAGGAATCTGCCCAGGGATGGGCCAGCATCTAAGAGGAAGTACTTGATATCCCAAACATTCCAATCATTAGGATTAGATAAGATTGCCAGATGTCCCTGAGCCTAGCACAGACCTATTTCCCTTTTTTACTAAGATACCCCTAGACAAATGCCAGTCAATCAGGGTCCTGGACCCTGGAAATCTTCTCACCCCAACCTCTGCTATGGTTAAAAACCCTACCCCTTCCAAGCTCAGGACTCTCTGCTCTCACTGCTACACTGCATTGGACAGACAAAGAGACCAAGCTCGAGCTTGAATAAAGGCTCTTTGCTTTTACATATGGGATTTGGTCACCAAGGTGTTCTTTTGGGGGGTCCCCATGATCTTGGCAGAACAATGAAGCTCCTTGTCTCATCTAGCCCATCAGTCAATATAGCCAGTCTACCAGGAAGCTTGCTGGCTCTTCCATTGTGAAGGCAATATGAAGGCCTAAACTTGACTTTACAGACTCCTTCTTAGGGAAGGGCCACCATCTTAGACCACCTGGTGACTAGAGGCTGTACTCAGTTCCAGGAAGAATCTCAGGAATGTGCCATGACAACTAGAACAGATACAGGGCAGTAAAGTTTAACAAGATCCAGATGCTCCTGCAGACATTCTGTCTGCAATTTATGGCCCTTGAAGATATCCAGATAATCCTGTCAGCAGGTTATGGCTCTCCGCCAAAAGTCTAACCCAATAGTTTCAAATGTGGTTTTGTGCTGAAAGTCTAGACCAATAGTTTCAAAAAAAATCACCTTGCCCCATATCCCTTTTACCAAATCCCCCAAACCACCAAGGCATGTAATTCCTGGCTTGTGGTTTTTTCCTTTAAAACCCTCCAATCTCTGAGCCCTGGGCTGCTGCATTTCCCTTCATCTGCTGGGTGGTGGCCCAGGTTCGAACCTGACAATAAAAAGACTCCTATGTGCTTGCATCAGAAACCAGCTCTTTGGTGGTCTCTGGGGTTTTGTGACATGGGTACAACACCTTAGCAATCAAGCCTTTATTCATGAACTTGACTAGAGCAAGCTTCCACACTTGTTCATCTAGCCAGACTCCTGACCTCCTGACTCACTGTCCAACAGCCAGAATGGTTTGTGAGCAGCACAAATTAAATTATGTCACTCCTTCAAACCATGAGTCTTTACCTGGTCCTTCAAGATCCTGAGATATCTATTAATGTATGTTCTCTCTCCAAAAAGAAACAGACTTCAAACATGTCTGCTGCTGCCCCAACCTCTACCACATCTGTAGCCATTTGCCCTGGACGGGACCACAGCAGGCTAGGCCACCTTCTATCTTAGGACAGTTGCACCTGATGTTCTTCCCCAAACTGTTTTCCTCCCAATCAGAAGAAAACTACTTTCACTGCAGATATTGATTAACACCCCTTCTGAGTATTTCTTTGGCCCTTCCTCCTCTTTTTCAATTTTCTTTCAAGTTTTCATTAAAAAAATAGAGAGAGAGATGGTAGGGGAGGACATAGTGCAAGCCCTTCTGTTTTCCACTTTCATTAAAATAAAGAATGCCAAGCTGTACTTCCTAGTCTCCAACACAGAATAGACACACAGATGGCCTGGGGAAAATGATCCTGCCCCATTCTTGGAAATTTAAAGGCCCAGTCTGAATTTTGAGTTAGTCATTGTCCACTCTGCCAAGAACAAGGGATTTTAAATCCAACCACATTGGCATCAGAATCTGCACAACAATCTTGCAAAGCAGGTCTTTCCTGTGGCTGGGTGTGTCAGCAACCATCACCAGGAGGTCTCAAGAATGCCTTTTGGGAAGAAATGTGCAGTGAAATCACCTCTCTTCCACTTACAACATGCTTGTTGAGAATTGTGTGTGTTTTCTTTTTAAAAACAGAGTTCAAACATTTAATTTTTAATAAGGTACCAATGCTTACACAGTGTTACAATTTAAACAAAAATAACACATTACTATGTGGTTGTTGCAAGACCAAATGTGAACATATCCCATAAAATCACACATAGGCTCATTTCCAGCACACCTAACATGGCAAATAAATAGTTATTATGCTGGTAAAATGGGATCTGGTTATTATTTCCCAAGTCAGATATACTGGCTCTGTGCTCATGTAAATCATTTCAAAGGTTAGAAGCTGAGTCTGATAAACCACTGCCCAAATCCAAAAGGTGGAATATTGCAATTACATAAGGATTCCATCATTCTCCTTTATGAGTTTCTCATCATCTCTAGCACAGCATCTGATAATGAATACTAAGCAGAATATACACATGTTTATAACTTAAAGTAACCCATTCTCGCCTAAATGGAACAAATCATTCTCAAATGTCTAGTTTCGGTGACTTAGTAGGCTCAAAATGTATGTTTACACCTTCTCCTTGGAAAGGCCTTTGGGAAGGACAAAGTAGAGAACTGTTCTTTGGAACAGTGAGGGCTGAATACTTGAAGATTTCCTTTTGGCACATTTGCCTATCCCTAAAAGCCAGAGGAATATCTACATTCCCATGAAATGCACTGAAAAACATCAAGAATAAATCCACATGTCTTTGGGGTGGGGTTAGCCATTCTTTGGTGTTCTATAACCCATTTCCTTAGTAACAGAGAGGGAATGCAAGAAATAGGTGGTGTGTCTCATCAGAAAACACCTTCTCCATTGTACTTTCAGTTTTGTTTGGTTTTTGTATGAAGAATGGATTCAGAAAGACTCCAGAATGTTTTACAGATGCCTGAAGATTTTGGTTCTGGAAAGGGGGAGGAGCATTACTGGGAAAGACGTTTATTTCACCTCCATGTCCCAGTTTTTATCAGACCACCAAGGGGATGGGAACTTAATATTGGGATACAGCAAATACCCTCAGAGTTCCTACTGGAAGCTTTCCTAAGAGTAACAAAGGGAGTCTGAGGTGGTGGTGCATGCCTTTAGTCCCAGCATTCCGGAGACAGAAGCAGGTGGGTCTCTGTGAGTTTGAGGCCAGCCTGGTCTACAGAGAGTTCCAGGACAGGCAGGGCTACACAGAGAAACCCTGTCTCAACCCCCATCCCCACCAAAGGGAAAAAAAAGTGACAAAGAGGAGGGCATTGAGTTCCCAAGGGAGCTTATTCAATGGTAAATGATAGCTTGAGAGATGGGCTCCCTGGGAAGAAGGCAGTCTCCACAGCACACTACCCATCCTTGACCTTAACCTGCCTGTCTAACCACAGCTTTGATCCTCAATCCCACATTAGAGGATCAATTTGCAAGTGAAAAGAAGACTGGCTTATTTCAGTCCAGTCACACTTTCAATTATTTCACCATCTCCATGGTAAGCACTAGGAGAAATACACAATGCTTTCAATTTCCGCTTGGTAACTTTGGCCAAGAGTAAACTGATTCCCTAGTCTTCCTCCACGGACTCTGCTAGGTTAGAGGGGAATTATGTGTTTTTGCTGACCTTTGGTGATACTTCCACTGTTGTGCATTGTTTTTTTAAGCTACCTGTTTCACACACACACACACACACACACACACACACACAGGGGTTGGGGGGCTCATGGATTATAGAAGGCTTGGCTATGACTAATTAATACTCTTCCATTACAGACCAACTCTGAGGGGAACCACTTGGGCAAAAAAGGGGAGCCACATGAAGTAATCTTTCACACTTAGAATTTACAGTCCAGGAGAATTCAGCTTCATTTATAAATGTTCCATGCAAAACCTAATAACAACCCTAACATTAGGATCTACTACTTAATATTTACATGCTATGAATGAGACAATGAACTTCATTCTCAAACCAAGGCTTAAAATCACTACTATTACCTGGATATTTTCACACTGATGTGCCTACTTAGTATTATTTCAGAGGGAGACAATTAGTTACAGAAACAAATAGCTGGAACTGTAGTATTCCTTAATTGTCAGCATGATCTGACTTAAAAGGCTTTCTTTTCAGAATATATATTTCTTGTAACAATGAGAAGATTCACAGAAACCCACTTGTAGTTAGGGTTTATTCAAAATTAAAATTCCTATTAGACCTGAGAAATGGACTCGGCTTAGGAATTAATTTTTCTCTCAAATGTGCAAAAATGGGTAAGATGCAAAAAGGTTATAAGAATGCTTGGAGGGATGTTTGGAAGGATTGTCAAGTATGAGAGAGTAAAAAAGACACAAAAGACAATGGTAGGGACATGATGATGGAATTTAATATGACAGATACACTCCCCTCCCCAAACCCAATCCTCCTCACCTATTAAGAGAATCTAATTGTCATTCAGAAAGTAATGTGTCTAGCTAAAATTTTTCTTTCTAGACTCACATATATCTAGGAGGACAAGACATGTGACAAAATTCCAGCCAATGGTTGTATGCTGAGCATCTCTAGCAAAGCTTATCTTTCCCAGATACACACACTTTATCTTGTTACTCGCCTCTTTCTCCCTCTTCCCACACAGTAAATAGACATCACACCTGGCATCTGGGCAACATTTTTACAACTATGAGGCAGTAAGCCAAAGGGCAGAGGATAAGAGAAGCGAAAATGAAATGCCAGAAGAATTAGGATCTCTGGAAATAGCATGGAGACAGTCCTGGAGTGACCATCTCCTAGGTTTCTTACTCAGACTGTCAATTGTGCTTTCTGCTACACACAGCCAAGTGCACATGCACCTGATACATCCACATCCAATGACAATAAGATTGAAAAGAATGATGATGACTGAGGGAAAGGTGGGGGGCAAAGATGAAGTGAAATGGCAAATGACATAAATCTTACAGAGATCATGCAATGGACCTAAAACACTAATTCCTTCCTGCAGAAAAGACAGAAGTGCTGACTAAAAGAATAAAAGTGTCATTAAGATCAAATACAAAGAGACCCAATGCTTCAATTGGCTGTATAAAATGTAACTCTGTCCTATGCTGTGATTGCTATTATGAAAGTACATGCTTAGGCATTAAAACTGGACATTTTATATCCTACAGAGAAGAGAATGGAAGAGATTTAGAATCAATTTACTATTTCTTTTGTAATTCATTTGGAGGAGTTCCCACTGAGAACTCATATGCTTCACCCTAATCATGGCTCTGTCTGAAAGACCTGAGAAGAAAGTTAAGTAGAAACACTGGGTAGCTGGTTTTTGAGTATTACACATGCTACTTAGAAACCAAAACACACTATAGCAATCTGGGAGCACACAGGCAATAATCCATGGCAGAGGCTGGACTGGTCTATATATCAAATGTACAAGTAACTGCATAAATAAATGAAGTCGATGCTTTGGAGTTGCAAATCAGTGATGAGGCAAGTGTCCCCTCAAAGTAAGAATGTGTCCCCTTATATGAGAGGAATGTCCACACAGTACTACATGTTCCAAAAGTTCACTGTCCAGTCTCAAGGTATTGGTCTCTTGTAGGAGAAGTAGTTTCTTCATGCTCACTATGGTGGGCACCACTGATACTGGTTCAGACTGATAAAGAAGCAAAACAACGGGCTTGAGAAGAAAAGCAAGATAAGAGATGGTCATAAATAGACCCATCAGGGTCTGCTTGTAGCTTTCACTGTATCCAACTTTAATTTTCTTTTCTCTTCCAACACAGTAAGTGCAATATCTTCCCTATGATTTCTTAACATAATAGCAAAATTTTAGGAACCAATACATAATAGTGGCATGCTGATACCCCTCTTTGTCTTTTGGACTCAAAGTTTCACATGTACTCCAAAATTACAAATATCAACCTTGAGTGAAGGGACCGCGATTTCTGGTGTTCCACATTCTCATATAATTTATGTCATTTACACTCTTCCACATGCCCCCAAAGCAGTTAGTAAACTCATTAAGAAACACGGCTTGGAAATTATAAGTGGTTAATTACAAAATGCCTACTAATTTGTGGTTTTGCCTTTTTAAAAAAAGTTTCATCCTTCTCCCCCTTCTTTCAAACAAGGCTTTCATTTCTGCTGCCCTCAGCACATGGTCTTCCACTGGAATCATAATGTATCATTTGATTATTTCTTTAAAAATTATGTAGTTATTGGTCTTCTCAAAATAACTGCCGCCTTATTGCTAATTAAACATGATGGATTCAGGGTCCTGGTTTGCCATCTGGGCCATGTGTCTCAGAACATCCTTTTTTGTGATGATCCCAAGAAGTCTCCTGGAGTGGAAACAAAACAGAAAAAAAGAAGTCAGCCTGACAGAAGAGACTTGTGACCAGGCTCAGGGACAGGCAACATTTCCTAGCTTCCTTATGGTTAAGCAGGACCAATAGAATGAGCTCCAGGCAGCGGCCTGTGTGCAAAGATGACAGGTGCCTCTCTCAGGTCTCCTGTGTAGTTCTTCTCTCTTCCACTCTCCTCACCTGGCATCCAGGGACAAGAGAGCCAGGGAAGGACTCTGAAGCACAGAAAACTGATTCATAAGCCACAAGATTCAAAGATATGGATCCCTGAATAGCTGGAGAAGAGCCTGTACCTGCAACCTACATAGTATGTAATAGGTGAGAAAAATGACTCTTCTCTTTGCTTGTATGTTTTGAGACAGAGGTTCCATATACAGCCCATGCCTGGAACTTGTAGTCCAGGTCAGATTCAAACTTTTGATCTTCCTGCCTCAGCATTGCAAGTGTAAGATTATAAGTATGTATCATTATACTTAGTATAAAAAAATAGTTGTTATTAAGCCACTGATATCAGAAGCTTGTTTTTGACACAAGCTGTGAACCTACAGTGAATAATACAATGCCTTCAATTTTAAGATTTTAATCAATTTATAAAGGGCTGTTAAAGTTATTGTCACAACCTGACCACACCATAGAAAATCCAAATATAAGGGTTTTCTTAGTATAAGAAATTAATGTAGACATGGAAGTATATGCCTATTAATATTAGCACTAAGTAAGCAGAGACAAGAAGAGTATCATGTGTTTGAGGTTAGCCTGACCTACATAGGGAGCTCCAGGAAAGTCTGGGATACAAAGTAAGATTGTATCAAAAGAAATTATTCTACTTTTAATTTCATGTTACTGGATGGGGAAAGTACAATGTACACTTCTGGCCAAATATACACATTCTCTCCTCTTCCAAAATTCCATTGTCTTCAACTATTAAAGAGTGCCAGTTTCCAGAGTCTGTTGTCTATGTGTGTGTGTGTGTGTGTGTGTGTGTGTGTGTGTGTGTGTGTGTGTGTGTGTATGCACATGTGTGCATATATACACACATGCACAAATACATATGTATGGTGTATGTACTTATTTGTGTTTATGTGTGTGTCAAGACCAGGGGTTAACTTATGGGTCTTCCTCCACTGCTAACAGCTTATTTTTTGAGACAGAGTCTTTCATTGAACCTAGAGCTCACTGATTCAACTGGGCTGGAGCCAATGAGCTTCAGGGACCCTCCCATTTTCTGCTCCATCTATCCTCCCCCCAGTGCTAGGGTTGCAGATATGCAATACCACACCCAGCTTTTAGGACGGTCTTGGAGATACAAACTCACGATTGCACAGCAAGCACTTTACCAGCTGAGCCAGGAACCTGGTTCCCAGGGTTGTTATTACAGGGTTACCTAAACTGTACAATCCTAGGGAGCATGGCTCACAGACACTGGGATGCAAGTAGAGCTCCCTGGATGATACTGTGCCCATTTGAACAGAGTCTGGGATGTAAACAGGGCAGATGGTACTGTGCCCATCTGAACCAACCTTGCCTTATTCTTTTTTATTAAATACTTAAATAACAGTCTGTGGGACCAAATCATGCCCTGCTGGTGAAGTGAATTTTTCTACAAAGACAATGTGAACAATTTCTTTGGAATACATTCCATCACCGGGTAAGTATGAAAATAATTGTTTGCTCCATCTCCATCACGATGGGGAAAAAAGGACCAGGAAGCAAGCCACAGCAGCCTCTCTTCAGAATTACGGAGCAATCAAAATGACAGGCCTCTACTCCTGGGGCTATGTAAGATGATGGCAAACCAAAAAATAAGGAATCACAGATACAATACATTGCCATTTAACTCAAGCCTAATTAGCCAAACTCATGTTGTACTATCCAGTAGTTAATATGAAGAAAGCTGCATTTGTCCAAGGGGTAGCCATGCCAGCTACAGCTGGTGAACAAATCAGGCTGTCTCTGACAACATTGGACCTCAAACAATCTAGAAAATGTGCTATCTTTCAGGTGGTAGTTTCTTCTTCTATCACATTAAGAAAGTGAGCAAATACTGTTCCCCACCCTCTGTGTCACAGGAGCATCTTTAGGAGGGAGGAAAGCAGCCATAAGGCCTTCTAAAAGCATGCTAGACAGCAACTGGGGAGTGAGTGCTTAAATGGATTAGAGGCCAGGACTGCAACTCTAACTCAAGCTGCTTTGGGTTCCGTGATTTTGACCATCTTTATATATGTGTATGTATGTATGTATGTATGTATGTATGTATGTATGTATGTATGTGTGTGTTATGCTATATTATTGTTATATATGTAATAAGATATATATTATATACATTAGGGTCTTACTCTGTAGCCCTGCCTTGCCTCAAGTTCAAGGCAATTCTCCTGTCTCAGGTTCCTGTGTGTTGGGATTACCAGGCATAAGTTACCACACCCAGCAAAATATATGTCTACAATGCCGCACAATGCAGTAAAATTGAATTGAAGCTTTTTTTTGTGCAACAGAAAACAGTGCTCTGCCAAATCTGCCAAGCTGACTCGCAGTTTTGGAATCATTGAGCCTGTACTGCTGTAACAAAATGCCACAGACATGGTGGTTGAATTAAAGTATAAGATCAAGGTGCCAACAGGGCCAGTTTCCCCAAGCCTCATTTCCTTGCATGACAGATGGGTACCACCATGCTCCCACTGTGTCTTCATATGGCCTCCTCCCTGTGTATAGATACTTCTTGGGTTCTTCCTCTTTTTTAAAGGACACTAGTCCTGTTGGATTAAGGATCTAATGAAACAGCCTTATTTAACCTTAAGGCTCAGTGCCTCTCCCTACTGCAACAGCCATAAATCAGGGTTAGGTCTTTAATATTTTAGAAGGAGACAATTCAGTCCTTATCAGGACTTCAACTGCCTGTACTGGACAATTGTGATAAAATAATTTCCTCTGAGTGCTTCCCTTTCCACATCATGTGAAACTCTAAAACTTGTATAATACGTTGAACTGACTTAAGTGAACTTAGTGGGTTCCCCATATGTTGGTCTACCCATATATTGCTCTAGTCCTCAAATAACCTGAAGGAACCAAACATTGACACTCTTCTTGTAATGGCATGCTAGTTTCTCCTGGGAACACTTCCACAAGTGTGACCACAGCCAAAAGAAGGCACTCTGGGCTTCTCACATAGGAATGAGCCTGGCTTCAGCTAATAACTCCTGAAAATCCTTTTTTCCAACTCAATTTGTCTAAGCTGCTTGGGGATCAACTGCCATAATAAGGGCCCCTGCATTCATCCAATGAGATGTAATGATTTTCCCAGTGGTACTATTACCCAGTATTTGGTCAATCACCATACTTCAGTAGAAATATCAGAGTCCTCAGTATTGCCATTGGGTCTTCATAATCATATATTCCAGAGGCCTGAGCCATGTCAGAGGCTTGGATTCCCCAGGTAAAGAAGACAGCTTTCCCCCTGGGGTCAGATACAGTGTGTTCTCATTCTGCCAATACTTATTAATTTCAAGGATACAACAGAGCTAGCAAGGAGATTTGAGGCTAAGAGAGGTCACTATTTAAAGCCAACTAGGAGTGTCCAGTGAGGTTCCCTCCTAGATAGCTGTGGCTGAAGGAGTTCTAACCTTGATCTAAATGACACTCTCTACTCTTCTGTATCCCATGAAGGCTTTACTCATGACTTCTCCACTTTGATACTTGTGGTAATTGGAGACTTTTTCATAGGGAGTGACATGTCCTGTACATTACCCAGATTCTGCTACTCGCCAGCAGCACTGGTGCTCACCCCTGCCCTGCCCCACAATTATGACAACCAGAATTTCTTCAGGTACTACCAAACGTTACCCTTTATTGAGAAACACTGCCCAAACTAAAAGGGAGGGAGGGGAGGACTAAATTAATTAAATGAGTGACCACATGACTAAGCAAACCCACTCCTGGTTAGCAAGTCAAGAAAACTAAAAACATGTTTGCTTAACAACTTACACACTAATCTTCTTTCACAATAGCCCCAACTGGAAACAGCCCAAATGTCTAACAATAGAAGAATGAATAGATAAACGGTGGCTTATCCATACAATGAAAAGTTATTCTGTCACTAACAGCATGAAGTACTGACACAAGCCTCAACATAGATGAATCTTGAAAATACTATACCAAGTGGTACAAGCCAATCACAGAAGGGCACACAGTATATACCACCTTGATATGTCATATCCACAAAGCTAAGAGAGTAGCTCCATGGTTGCCTAAGGCTGGACTAGTACAAGAGGTGACAGCTGAGGGATACAAGCTTTCCTTTAAAAGTAATGGAAATGTTTTGGCTTTGATGGTGATGATGGATGCAAAATTCTTTTTCTATTTGAACTACCTAATTATACATTTTAAATGGGTGAATTGCAGGTTATGCAACTATCTCAATAAAGCTTTAAGATAGCCGGCAAGATTGGCTTAGCAAGTAAAAGTGCTTGTTGTGCAAGGCTGAGAGCTGGGTTTGATTTCTGGAACCTAAGTGGAAAAAAATTCAGGATGCAGTAGCATGCATTTGGAACCCCAGCATTTCTACAGTAAGATGAAAGACAGAGGAGAATCACCTGGGTGCTTATAGAGAAGGTAATCCGAAGTACACAGAAGGAAAGAAACAAGAGAGACTCTGCCTCAAACAAGATGGCAGAAGAGAAACAACTCTCAAAAGTTGTCTTCTGGCCGGGCGGTGGTGGCACACGCCTTTAATCCCAGCACTCGGGAGGCAGAGCCAGGCGGATCTCTGTGAGTTCGAGGCCAGCCTGGACTACCAAGTGAGTTCCAGGAAAGGCGCAAAGCTACACAGAGAAACCCTGTCTCGAAAAACCAAAAAAAAAAAAAAAAAAAAAAAAAAAAAAAAAAAAAGTTGTCTTCTGGCCTCCACACATGAGCTGTGGCACAAATGTACCCATACTCACACTCTCTCACAAACATATTATATGCACATTCACCCAATTCTTCTTCTTAATAAGTATTAAGTTATTATTATTATTATAAAATAATAGCTGTAAAAGAAAAATGAATCAATAAAAATAAAGGCAGGACCACATGGACTTATACAAAGTCCACCTCTCCATTCAGATGCTAAAATACAGTGATAGGAATAAAGGACAGGTGAAAGAATTGTAGTGCAAAGGACCAGTAGCCGGAAGTGGAAAAGCATGGTTATTTGCAAGTGTGAGGAATCTGGTATTCTTTCAAAATTAAAAAATAATAGTTATGAAGCTCAGAGTATACAGTTACAATATGCCACTATGTAAACCATGATCAAGAACTAAATTTGAGCAGATCAGCTCACACGGACAGAGCATTCATAGTTGCTCTTCTGGTGGCAAGGATCCCACAGTTGTCCATGCTCAACATGTAAACAGTGTTTTAGCTTAACTAGCTCACTCATCTTCTGCTATGTATTTTTCACTCGAAAACACAGATCATGATGGCTACCTCTGGAGCACTTGCCTTGGGTGATACCACTTAAATTGGATTCCTTATTCCTTATTCCTTAGTCAATGCCTTCGCTTTTTTGTGTGTGTAGTTCTCAAGATTGAACCTAGGGCCTCACGCATGTAAGGTAAGCACTCTACCACAGAGCCATGTTCCCAATCCTCTCAAGTTTATTTTTGCATTTTGAGATAGGGTCTCACTAAGTTGCCCAGATTGATATTGAACTCACTCTGCAGTCTAGGCATCAGAGCTTGAACTTACCATTCTCTTGTCCTAGCCTCCTAAGTACATGGGATTTAAGGCTGGAGCCACTAGGCCCAGGAGACTTTTATTTTTTAACACTTTGTTTGTGTGATGCTGGGCATGGAACTCAGGGCCTTATGTACACACTAAGTGATGTACCACTGAGCTACATCCCTGGTCTTCTGTTTTAAAACCACTTTGAGCCTTCTCCAGTTCTCAGCCACAATGGATGCTCAGTAAAAACACTGACTGCACCCATATCTCCTTGCAAAAACTATGACCACTATCATTTGCAAAATGCTGAAACTGTGCACACATACCCTTCATGTATCTATATAGTCTGGGCCTTGTTTTATTTTCCTTACCCTAGAGATAGAATCCAAAGATATAATATACCCATGAGTGGTAACATGTGCCTATCTATAGTTTTGGCTCATGGGAGGTTGAGGCAATAGGATCACTTAAGCCCAGAAACTTGAAGCCAGCCTGGGCAATTTAGTGAGATTGATCCTCTTACCACCACTACTACCAAAAACAAGAACAATAATAAAAATCAAGCATTATAGTTCTGAAAACCTCTTCATAAAGTTCTGTGACTATAAAGTCTGTAAGTTAGATTGGTTCCAGCAGCACTGAGAAAATATACGTTCTAGATCTTCCTTGGCTTTGAGCATAAATCATGCCCTGACCTGCGAGACAGCAAAACATCAACACAGAAGGAAGCAACATCAAACCCAGCAGGCTTCATTAGTGGTAGTAAATGTCCTATTTGATTTAAATCAAGTGTTTGAACTCCAGCTTCTTCAGGTGGCAGTCCAAGAAAAATCTGATAAATTATAAATGGCCAGATTCATGACAAAGGACCTAAACTACAGACTGCAGCAGCTAGAATCTTCTGAGACAGCTATGCCACCCAGATCCCTTGTGGGGCACCCAAAAATGATGAGGGAAACCTGATATAATCACCCAGACTTGCTTTCCATTTCTAGAACCTCTAGGGAGAAAAACCCACCCAAATTTAATCTTAGTACCTGAAGGCTTCTTAGATTCCAGCACTCTGTGTACAAAGCATCTCTGATTCCTAGTCTAGTTTTATGAATACTCTGGGCCCCAGGCCCAGAGATAGCCTGCAGACAATCAGGTCAAGGGACAGGCTCAGACTCTCATCCACTAGAGCAGGGAAGGCACATGGCAATGGAACACATCAAAACCATAAGCTGGCTTGAGCCGGGCCTGCCCTGGCTGAAAGCCCAAGGAGAAGATGAAAGGCCCCGAAAACAAGGATCCCTTGCCAGCACTAACGTATCAGCATCTGTATTTGTTTAAAACATGTAGAGCCAGAGAGAGAGGGAGAGTTGTTTTCTCTTAGAACATTCGGAGCCAATTTCAGCACCCAGATCTTCACAGGAAAACCTCGTGGGGCTCCATGAGGTGTAAGTGGGCATTGGGGGCAGAATTTCCTGACTGAACTGGAAATTCCAATGATAAGTGACATCAGACTATTTTAGAGGAAAGGAGAAACTGCTATACACTTGAGATGGCCTGGGCAATCATTGCAGTATTTACTCCATGCTGGAAACCCAAGTGCAGGTATTCATTTCAGTGGTTCTCAAAGTGGGATCCCCAGGAGCTTGATAAAAACTCACTTTCTCAGGCCTTACCCAAGACCTCAGGGACCAGAAGTTCTGGGGTGAACAACATAAAAGTGAGTTTCACCTGGAGGTTCATCCTCTATCTAGAAAGGGCATTCCAATACATGTGCAAGTGTGAGACAGTAGAGAGTACCTCTAGAATCCATGAGAAGTGTGATCTGTAGCCTCAGTCAGAATGAAGGAGAAACCTGTCCTTCCAATTAGAAGTTCTGCAGGTAAATGTACACACTGAAAGTTTGCAGAGTCTGTACTCTTGTTACTAGATCAGCAGGAGGAAGCCAAATGAGTAAGATTCCTCAATATTCAACCCAGGGTCCTTCTACTATGACACTAGTTTTTTTTTTAAGCCAAATTTGTGGTTTTGTTGCAGGAAATGTGTTGTGCACTGCATAATGTTACCAGCATTGACCATTGACCTCTACCCACTACACAACTATAATACCTCTTCCTCTGATTGTGACACCCAAAATTGTCCCTAGATCCAGCAGGACAATAATGTCCTGGTTGAGGACTACCGTGTTAAACTAGAGTGTATTGGCTCTAAAGTGGTATCAACTGTGTTAAGCAGTTCAGCCTCTGGGTTCTACAAAGGCCTAAACTATGTTGGATATCAGAAGCTACACAACACCTCTTATTTCCAGACTCCAAGCTGGGAGTATAGCAGATATATGATGGGGCTTCTAGCACCTTTCTCTGTACAGTCTTCTGAGGCTATGGAACTTGAGCCACACCTCAAAGCCTAAAGAATGGCCCTTAGAGAACTACATCTTAGGCATTATCATGGCCATTTATATTTGTGTTATTGATTTCCTGGCCTGTGAGAACACAAGGTAAAAGTTTCAGCAATGATGCCATCAAGCTATCAAATTCCTGTTTTCTAATACTATTTGTGTAACAAAAGTATCTTTTTTTAAAAAAATGCATTGATGTCTTAGGAACAGTCTGAGAATAACAGATATAGCATTTGCTTTTGGGGTAACAGCATCCATAAAAAGTGGGGGAACAAAGAAAGGTGTTCCCAGTCAAACCCAACAAAACACACACACACACACACACTGATCATCCACCCACACTCTGCCCTCATGTGAGAGTTAGGAACCATACCCATCCTGCTTGCTGTGATGAATTCCCATTCCCTCCCTGGACTCCTTCACAGTAACTCTAGAGCAGATGTCCCTTCAGGTGTCCACTTCACAGCCAACTTCAGGTTTTTTTTCCCCAAGGAAGAATATTTATTGTCATATTTGTATATTTCCCAACTATTTAACCAGTATAAAATGTACAAACTTATGTGTATTTTAGATTCTCATCCTTTTAAAATGATGTATCATTGCTGAAGGTTTTGAGAACTGTGCACCTGTCTATTTTCCCCATAACTCCTGTGCTTTGATTGCTGCTCCTTTTGGCATACTACTACAGTTTTGAGGAGCATTTATGTCATGGAATAGCAGAACAAGCTGCACCTTCTCCTTAGGCCAAGTGTCATATAGCAGAAGAAACAAGCTGTTCTTTAACTCCTCCCTTTGACCAAATCTTCAGACTGAACACAGGCAATAGTCTAGCCTAGAAGTTTCTCCCTCTTCCCTCTGCTCAAAATTCCCAAGCTTCTCATACATTTTCTTCTCGATACATTCAACTCAGCTTAGTGATATCAACCGTCAAGGACTGGTCCACCGCAATAGACCATGAGTTCCTTAAGGGCAGACACAATAGAGCTGGCCACAGTACACTTTTTCTCTTCCCTTGTCTGGCTACTCACCCACTCCGCGTCACCAGGCATTGGCGGAGCCCCAGTTTCCGGAAGATATCCACTACTGTCTCCATGGGGGTGTGGTCTGTGACAGTGAAAGGGCTCAGGTTCAGAATGCGCCTCAGCTTCAGTGGATGTGGGCTATTGGCAGGCAGCTCAGGGGGCTCCTCTGTGAAGTACATGATGGAATTGCTCACGATGCCCTCTTGTCTCTGTCTGGCATTCTCTAGAATAATGGTGAAGGGGGGAAATGATAAGCCACACACAAAAATCTTGTACTTAACTACCACCACCTGCCCTCATACAGCATATCAGCATCTCACAAAGAGGAGTTCAGAGGGCAAAAGGCACAGTCATAACAAGTACTTCGGCCAAACATCCGTGAACCTGGCATCCCTCTCACATGCTGTGAGAGGGGGGCCCTGCTGTGACAAGAATGTTCACTGCCAACATCTTGCAAGATGGGCCCCCACCAACATGGCCCTTTGTGGATGTCCACAGTTTTCCCGTAGACTCCTGAGCACCCCAAATGCTTCTTCTTCGTTCTTGCTTTTACAGCATCTCAACATGGGCTGAAGGTCATGAGGTTAAGAAACCTCATTTCACTGCCCAGTAACCTTAGCACATTGATTTTTACAAACGAGCTTACAAGCGGCCTAAATGGCATTATGAATCCTAGAGGGATGAGAAACCAATAAGATTTGCCCAGGCTCACAGCCCAGAAATGCAGCTCAATCCCAAATATCCCTCTTGGGACCAAAGAAACAACCCCAGAAAAGTTTCATCCCTCTGCCTCTAGATTCTCCTCTCTTTAAAGTGTGTCATTTCATAGATTTCGCAAAGAAAGATAGTAAAACTGTTATGGTAGCAATTAGTCTATTTCTGTGTATAGGCAAGGCCATACAAAGCTGAAGGGAAAGTAGTATACCCGGAATTCATTAGAAATACAGCTTAATGTAGTGCTAGAAATCCACGCTATTTTAAGTCGCACATGAAATAAATCCATCAGTCTCAAGCTATTCTCCAAGGCCATTTTCCTGCTGTTGGAATTTTAATCTTCCTTTTAGTTCATGGGAAAAGGTTAGAAAAAATGTACAGCAGGGCATGCCTTAAAAATGAATCCCAGTTTCTACAGTACATTTCTTAACCTTCTCAAAGATTACTATTCACCTATATTGTTCTTTCAAAAATAAAATTCTTACTGCCTCCTCTAAGACCATTTAGTGCAATAGAGTACTCTAATGGAAAACTGGCAGCATCAGGGGTCAGGCTGAGTCTGAAAGGGGGGCTCTGTTGTAAAGAGGAAAGGAGGGCCTGCTGGGCAAATGCCTGCACATTATATGGGTCAGGTTGAATCTAGTTACATCAAATGGGATGTGATTCAACCACAAATACCAGATAATACTGATGTACAACATGTTTTCAACTTCAGATCCTACACAATCCATACTACAGGCTACACACTGTGCTCTTGTCTCCTAATCCAAAGGGTTCTGTCTTAAAGCTCTCAGGCACAGAGGCTATATTCAGTACATACTTATTTGCTCATTTCTACGAACCAATATATTCTCTTAAAGTCCCACATAACATAATTTCCATCCACTTCAACAATCAGATTGGACATCAGGATTGGATCAAGCCACAACCCTTAATCAAGAACTGATCACATGGATTTGCCAAGCCCCTCATAAAACCAACCAGCCCAGTTGCTGAAATAAACAAGCTCATGTTTCCTCAGAATCTACTGATACTGTTTGAAACCTTGATAATAACAGCTACACACTCAATGAAGTCTTGTTCACTAGTGTATCCCTTATGCCAAGACCATGTCTAAACATAAAGTAGGCACAAAACATTTTGTTAAAGATTTGTTTTTGATAGGTGGTAGTGGCACATGCCTTTAATCCCAGCACTTGGGAGGCAGAAGGAGGTGGATCTCTGTGAGTTTGAAGACCGCCTGGTCTACAGAACTAGTACCAGGACAGCCAAGGCTACACAGAGAAACCCTGTCTCAAAAAACCAAAACAAAAAGATTTATTTTCCTTTTGATTTGTGTATGTGTGTGTGTGTGTGAGAGAGAGAGAGAGAGAGAGACAGAGACAGACAGAGAGACAGAGACAGAGAGAGACAGAGGCGGGGAGTGCGTTTGTGTAGGCCAGAAGGAGGCACTGGATCCTCTAGAACTGGAGCTACAGGCAGTTGTGAGCCACCTGACATGTGTGCTGGGAACTGAACTTGGATCCTTTGAAAGAGCAACAATGCTCTTAGTTGTTGAGTCATCTTTTTAGCCCCAATATAAAACATTCCTGTCACATGCATGCATATATGCATGGATGGATAAGATTTACTAAATGTCTGTTTGTCATGTAGAATAGCACCTATTTCATGGAGGGAGGAGGCATTAGAAAGGAATTCCCAAGGGCTATCTACCACCAGGCAAGGATTTTAAACATTAGCTGGGGTCAGATGGGAATCTGAGCTGCTCCCTTCAGAATGGCTCTCCTAGGTCACTTTGAAACTAGATTGTAAAGATTTATATTAAGGCTTCAAACTCTAGGGAAGGAGGTGCTATACATAGACCTCTGAGTCATAGCTTCAATCCCCTAACATATAGTTTTGGACACACAAAAGATAGGAAGAAAATGAGCTGAATGCTGACTGTGATGGCCCTATTGAACAGTGCTGAGAATGATGGTGCCTTTACAATTTTTCCAATTTTTTTTTTCAATAATGTAGGTGCTTCTATTGCTTTTACTTTTAAAATGTAACAAAAACTTTATTTGTAAATCTTCAAGAGTTCAAGCACTTGAATGTTTCTTTCAATGTTTTAATGTAGAAGGCTCCATCATAATATTGTAGTAGAACTAGTCTGGGTAGACACAGCTCCTTTAAAAATGATGTGTGTTTTATGAGCACCTGCTAAAGCTGCTCAACCTCATAGTCCACTTTCCAGCAGCAATAATGTCAGATGCAAAGAGGGTAATTAATACAGTGTTGGTGACACGAATTTCACATAATGCAATAAATTTTAAAAAATTTAAAAATTAGAAATAAGCAAACACCAAACAAGCCTGTGAGTAGCTTCAGAGCAATGATTCCTAACTGAGTAGTTTTGGCCTGACTCTAGATAATGTCTAGAGGCCCTTTTGGTTGTCACAAAATGGGAAGGGGGGGTGCCACTGGATTTTAGTGGAGAGAGAGCAAGGATGCTGTTCAAAATCCTATAGTGTGCAGGACAGTCCCAACCCATACAAATGTCAGTGGTAATAAGGTTAAAAGCCTTTATTTTTAGAGTAATTGTTTCCAGTGAAGCAATACTCTATCATCCAGTTGGTTAAGAATGCTTCCATAAAACAAACACAATTAACAAGAAAAGTTAAAATGGAAAATTGGAAGCAACCACTCTCATGCTAAGTAGCAGTATGACATGATTTAAAGACTACATCGAAAGAAAAGCAGATTATTTTATAAGATACTATCCACCAAGGAATGGATAAATCTTACACACTCCATGTATTTTAACATTTAGCAGAAAGTAATTAACACCACTATGCCACATAACCCATTCCAATAATTAACAGTGCTTCCAGACAGAAACCTCTACTCTTACAGAGCCTGTCTGGCAGATCTGATACCTATCTTCTCATTTAGTCCTGAAGGTGGTTCCCTTTATGCAAGTAAGCATCTTCCATATGTTGGAGAATCATTATTAAGTCATCCACCAGATGAAAAAAACTGAGAGTTCCCTTAACTCTTCCCTATAACTCTAACTTTCCATTCCTTTAATCATCTCTGTGGCTTCCCACTGAGTCCTCTTGGAACCTGTACTTGCTTAATTGCAGAAGCCTGGACTTGAAAAGCCTGAGCCCTGCTGAGTACAGAAGGATCTTCATATTTGCAAAGAGTAATGAAAGGTAAAATCCACTTGCCAGGAGTTTGAACACAGTCACACACAGGGCCCCATTGGCTAATAAACTCTGATGGCCGAGAGTTGATGCTAATATAAAGGCAATGGCTGTGCTCTGGCATTGCAGAGATGGATTATGAATGACAAAACATAGTAACACATATGTGTGAAAATGCTATTAGGAGATCCATTACTTTGTTTGCGAATGTAAAAAAAAGTGTTTTTAAGTTTTAGAAGAATAGAATGGAAGAAAATCCTTATTTTGCTCATTTCTCATTCTTTACTCATGATAACTTTCTTGAAAGTTCCTTGCAAAAGCTCTGTTTCTAATTCCCTTAAAAGTGAACGTGGCATGGGGGAGTTTTTAGCAAAATGTTTAATGTCCTATCTTGATATTCATACAAGGGCATATAATTCCTCAAATACAGGTCCTGAATCTCACCACCAGAATGTGGTGATCCCTATGTTTCCATGGCTTAGGAAAACAGCTTGTCTGATTCTCTGGAGCAAAACTTCCCTCACCTTTCAGCAAGCCATATAGACAGCAGCTTCTGCACTGTGATGGGCCTAACCAAAAGCACAGAAATATGATTTACACTGCATGGTGCCTCTTCAGATATTCCAAACATAGCTTTCTTAGAGGGTGCATGCTTGCAGAGCTTAAATTTCTTCTCCAACCAGTTGATGCCAATTATCACTTCCCACTTGATTACAGTAATGGATTTAAGCAAAATTAGTAAGATGTTTCTTAGCAGGTGTGCCTGGAGCAGCACAATAGGCAATGGATTATGTGACATTTATTACTTTAGTTTCTAAACTCAACCTTTGCGTAAAAGATTTTAGGAGGACTGAATGCATTTTAAAAGCCATTGATTATATTATTTTAAAACAAATTCAACCCTACTTAAACAACTTTTTAATGATCTTATTATTTGTTAGGCAATATTTAACCCTCAAGGCACCTCCCTGTTCAGAGATGGGACCTATATAAAGAGAAACATCTCAGTGCACTCACACAGGAATTTGCCATTGTAGCTAAAATGTAAACTCCAACTTTGTTTTCTGTGTGAGCTAACTATTAAAGTTAGAAGGCAGTGCTTATCTACACTAACATTTGAAAAGCTTTAGAGGAAGATATCTTAAACACATTTTAAGCTATTTAGTATGTGTAAAGGGTTTTAAAAATAGAAAAGGAAGTGCCTGGGAAATAGGAACAAAGGGCCAGAGGATGAAACAGCAGCATGGTGAAGATGTGTTCCCAGTGAGGTAATCAGAAGTCAGGCAGGAGGAAGAAGGGCTCATTATTATGCTGCAGGAACATTCCGGAAGATGTGGTGGAACATAACACTGTCCCACAGGCATGAAAGTTGTGCCAGAGGCTTGTCTCCCATATGATATAGGAGTATTTCACAGATCGTGGAGCAAGACTGCTGATGGGCAGGGCACGGTGTTTGTAATGCAAGGGAAGATGGACTACACTGGTCCTTGCAACTGCTTACATCCTGAGGTCCACAAGACTTCGGTCCTCTGAGGCACATTATTTCTCTTTGCCTAGAGCTCTCTCTCTACAACTTTTATCCAGGTCTACCTCTTACTTTCATTTCCATTGCAGTCATCCCTAGCACAAGACATCCATAGATTGGCTTCCTTGAACAGCTTGTTTTTGGAACATTCCACCTGTATATCATTCCTTTCTCTGTTCCCCAAATAAAACAGTCTGGCCCTCAGGGTGACTGACATCAATTCAAATACTAGGAAAGCATAATCACATCGAACTAATTTCTACTGATGCTGCTTGCTAACCCACATGGGCCCCTAATTGGTTGGATTGAAATCATGGCAGAGACTGAAGCAAAGACTTGTGCAGTGCTGAACTCCCCACTTCAGTGGGCTGACTACGCTACCTGAAAGTCCACTTTTGACATAAGCCATGCTGTTCAACTATTCTCACAGCATTCCTTCCTTTCAGCTTTAGTCAACAATTCCTTTAAAAATGCAGCAGCAGCAGCAGCAGCAGCAGCAGCAGCAGCAGCAGCAGCAGCATACCTCCTAGCAGGAATAGACCCCCAATGCCTGCCTGTACCCACAGTAACCATTTTTTAACCAGGAATATCTACCCCGGGGCTTGAGTTTAAATCTTTAAACCTTGGCTCTTCACAATGTGAGTTGGAGGCAGAAACAAACACTGGCATGCCTGGGAAGCTCAGAAGGAATATAGAGTCTCAGCCCCTAGTGGGCCAGTTCAATCAGAATTTGTGTCTTTTTTATGTTTTGATACAGGGTTTCTCTGTGTAGCCCTGGCTGTCCTAGAACTCACTATGTAGACCAGGCTGGCCTCAAACTCAGAGATCTGCCTTTCTCTGCCTCTAGAGTGCTGGGATTAAAGGCATGCGCCACTATTGCCTAGCTCAGAATTTGTATCTTAACCTGATCCCATGTGACAAATATGGTTAAATCAAAACTTGGAAGACTCTGGCTTTTTTAAAATGTTTTTTCCTTAAATCATAATGAATTTGGTATATACAAATACATAATCATAATGAGTGCACGGTATTTACATAATTTCTACTCCTTCTTCTCCCCTTCCAACTCCCCCTATGTTTCCCTGCCATATCCTCCTCTAAATTTCATGTTCTCTGCTTCTATAGTTATTGCATATATGCATGTATATATGAATGCACACATAATGTATTGACTCCAATTAGTGTTGCCCATATGAGCACAGGTTTAGGACTGACCATTTAGACTTGAGTGACATATTAGGGGCTTGTCAATGAAGCCCTTGACTTAATGAACTCCCTGGGACACATATGCTGATTCTAGGGTCACAAAAGCTATCATTAGCCTCTGAGGGAAAGGTGAGAGCCTCCATGTCTGTACTCACTTATAGCCAATATCAGCTCTCGTCTCTGGGCAAAGCCGATGAGGCGCTCCGAGTCTCTGGAGACCACCACAGGAAAGCCATTGTAGTCTGTCTCTTTGATGAGTGTCTCCACGTCCTCCACAGTCATGCTGTCCTGGGTGAGCACTGACAATGGTGGTTCTCCCCTCCGGGGCCGCATCACATCAGTGGCCAGAGTACGGTGGGTGAATTCATCCTTCACATCGAGAAATGGGTACCCATTCAAATGGATGTGGGCTTCATAAATCCCTTCTTTCCCAAAGGCATCAGCCACCCACTTGCTGGTGACAGCAGCTGCCATCAGGGGCACAATGTACTCCAGACCTCCAGTCAGTTCAAACATGATGACTACCAGTGACACTGTCATCCTCGTCACTCCACCTATAACAGAAAAGGACAGTGGGATTTGAAAGCTCAGCCACAGACCCCGAGAATGTGTGATCTGTGCAAACAGACACACTTACAGACCAGAATTTCAGCCCGAGCAGGCTCTTTAATGAGAATTTTCTGTCCTTCTCATACTTGTTCCATGGAGTCAGTCCCACATGATGCTCAGGCTCTGTGAAACCCAGTCTTGCATCAGGGACCTGAATTGCCTGACACAGAGCTCCACTTCAATGAGGAACATGGGTGTCTATTCTTCCAGGTGGTATGCCTGGCCCTTTGATGAGTGGATCCTACCAGAATATCCAGGCTCCTGACAGTGCAAGCAATTCAGAAGCTAAAATATTGGGGAGATTATTAAGAATATTAGTTTGGACAGGGATCTGCCTTTGAATCCCTAGGTATTCAAAGGCAGTTCCAACTAAATCCTACTCCAATAAACCTAAAGCAGGATCTCTTAACCTCAGTACATGAGATATTTGGAGTCTGGCTATTCTATGTTATCAAGAAGGTGCTATGCTTAAAAGCTAAGCAGCTTCTGGGCCCTCTACCCACTATGTACAAGTGCCACTTATAATTATGATAAAGAAAAATGTCTCCAAATATCACCAGAGGCAGAGTCACCCCTTGTTGAGAAGCCATATTCTAGATGGTGCAGCTGTAACACAGTACAGATTTCATCAGCCTGGGCTCTAAATGACTAGACAGAAGAGAATCTTCTGCTAACATGTGAAGATAGGTATAGGTGTGTGTGTGTGTGTGTGTGTGTGTGTGTGTGTGTGTGTGTGTGTTTGTGTGTCTGTGTGTGTGTGTGTCTGTGTGTGTCTGTGTGTATGTGTGTGTTGAACAAAACATGAGCTACCAAGATCTAAGAATTTGCTTGTTACTAGAGGATAGCCTAACCTTATCCAGAGTGAAGTCAATGATCAAATCCATCTCTTCGCTCTTGTGTGACCTCTAAGGTAGATCAGCACCCTGCCCCTTCCCTTCCCCACCCATGGCTGTACCTAGACAGGCTGCAGCTCCCACCATCGCATAAAGCCCTGGTGTGACACAGTCTGCTCCAGGCCTGCACCAGTTCCTGAAGATGATCCAGTCATGGTGATGGTAGGCCAGCTGCTCCACACCGATTCCCACCATCCGGCCTGCCATGGCTCCTACAGCCATGCTGGGGATGAAGAGGCCTGAAGGAATCTCGAAGGAGCACACAGAGAAAAGGTAGCCTGAGATAAGAAGGCGCAGTTTCATCACCCAGTCCCAGGGAGAGTGAAAGTCCCCCACCCCCACACATTTGCATGTGGCTTGGGTCCTCAAAGGAGACACAGTTCTTCAAAACAAGCTGGGAAAAGGTGAGACAAATGATTTGACCTGCTCAATGGCTTAGTTGTTGAACTCCACTGCAACTCAAAAAGAACATAGTTTGACACTTTCATTTCCTGTCCTTCAAAAGCCAGCCCCTTTGCCTGCTGTGCATTAAAGACTGATAAGCTTCACTGCAGATAACATTCCAAGCCAGCATCTGTCACTTGAGCCTCTCACCACTTTCTCACTCCCCTAGCTGTGTCATTCACACTGGCTTTGAAAATTAAATGTCAAGCCACAGCATGAGAATAGATGAGAAAGGCCTTCAACTGCTCCCAGGTAAAATAAAGAAACTGAGTGCATTGTGTCACCATAGCTGTCCTGAATCCCCCAAAAGCTTTTCAAAGACTTAGTACCCTCTTCAAAGGGTGCTGGCTGGACACTTATCAGGGAGAGAGGAGAAAAATCTCCCTTTCCTGACTAAACACATTTTCCAAGAAGCGTTCAGAATATTTTCCAGCCATCTTAGCGGCAGCAAGGAAGCATACTGTGTGGTGTAATAGTAGTTGGTAGTGGTGAGTTTTCTACTTTTATGAATGAAAACATATTTTGGTTTAGCTGGTGAATGTGCTACGGGAGCCCTGACTTCCCATGCTCAATGAGAATCCACAAGCTTGTAGACCTCACAGCAGCTGCTCTTCTCACCACCCCCAGCAGCCATCAATCTGAGGATGGAGACAGATTTTTAACCTCACTGAAGTGAAGTGAAGGAAGCAGCCTCCTGTGCAATTTCTAGAGTCTGGAATGATCTTTAAGAAACTGTCTCTCTGAATTTCCCTTAGTCCACAATCATGGAATCCCCCTTAACTTCAAAGTAGGCCTTTCTTAGTAAGCACAAAGGGTACTGATAGCATTTCCCTTGAACACCAAGACAAACTCCTTTGATAGGAATTGAAGATTAAGGGTGAGTCATCTACTTAATGAGTTCTACCCATCTTGTGCTTTATGAAACCATCATTTCTGAGGATCTGTAAAAAGAATACATTTGTAGAATACCATACAACAATAGTAATGGCCACACATCGTTTGTGGAAATTCATTAAGCTGCGACCAACTCTGTATGAATGGTATATTCTGTTAAGTTTTTTGTTTGTTTGTTTGTTTTTTGTTTTCTTTGTGTTTTTTGAGACAGGGTTTCTCTGTACAACAGTCTTGGCTGTCCTGGAACTCACTTTGTAGACCAGGCTAGCCTCAAACTCGCTGAGATCCACCTGCCTCTGCCTTCCAAGTGCTGGGATTAAAGGCATGTACCACCACCACCCAGGTCTGGTAAGTTTTTAAACAAAAATAACGGTACTAATCACAACAGCTAAGAGGTGGAACCAATCTAAATGTCCATCAAAAGATGAATGGATAAAGAAAATGTGGAAAATACATATACTGAAATACAATAGTGAAATACTCCAATAAAAGGAGCAAAGTATTGAAACATGGTACAACATTGGATAAACCTTGAAACCACGATGATGAATGAAAGATGCCAGACACAAAAGGCCACCAGAATAGGTAGATCCACAGACAGAGAACACATAAATGCTGCAAGAGTTAGAGGGAGGATGGAGAGTAACTATTAATACAGTGTCTTTGGGTGAATGAAAATGTTATGAATCTAAATAGACAATGGCTATGCTGTATTGCGGATGTACATATGACAATGAACTCTTTACTTAAAAATGATCAGCTTGGCCAAGCATGGCACTAACACCTGTAATCCCAGCATTCAGGAGGGCAGGAGGACAACAAGTTCAGAGACATCTTAGTCTAAACATTGAGACACCATCTCAAAGAGAAAAAGAAAGCAATAATGTCTCAGTGACCTTGGAGGTATATATATCTGGGCAGGGTTAAAATAGTGCTTCAAACAGAATGAAAAAACCTGTCTTTTCTCCAAAAATGGAAGCATGTGCTATTATCCACAGCTCTCAAAGGACATCAAGAAAAGGTATATGCAAACAGTCCATGCCATAGGCCTAGCTAAATCCAGACAGGGGATATGTAAGCTGCTCAGTACAGATTCTCTAAATGCTGACTTTGGGTATGTCTCTCCAGAGCCATGTACCCTTCAAGGGCAGCATTCTGCTTTGGGCTGTGTACCTCTCAGACCTAGTATATTGCTCATGATACAGATGATTCTCTGGGGATGTTTACTGACTGAAATGGAGGCCAAACTGGGCTTTGTTTGTCCACTACCTACCATCACCCACACAGCAGGTAAACCTGTGCTTCTAAGAAGGCGTGAGGTGACTTGGTATCCAGCTCTGTATCCCACAAATATCTTATAAATTGGGTTGAACCAATCCACCTACAGCTTCTTCAACTAGAAAATGAAAATAGCCAGATGTGGTACCATATGCCTTAAATACCAGCACTTGGGAGGCAATGAGATCTCTGTGAGTTCAAGGCTGGTCTAGTCTACATATAGCAGGTTCTGGGCTAGCCAGAGTTACATAGTAAGACCCTGTCTTAAAAAAAACTGAAAAAGAAAATGGAAACAAAATCTCTACTTCATACACTTGCTGTTTAGCGAACTGTTTCCTTTTGATTAAAAGACCAAGCACATGAGAACATTCAAGAAAGGTCAGTGTTCTTCTTCTTCAAATCGTAATTTTATTTTGGAGAACAATGTGCTGTATCCAGAAAAACATGCCCTCCTCTACTTCTTTCTACTTCACTTACCTTCATGCCAAAGGTAAATATAGTAATGACTATTTTGAAGATCAGTGCCAAGGCCAGCTGCCACATCGCTGTGTAAACCCCAACTCCAGCTGGCCGGTCTGGAATGTCATCTACAGGCCGAGTCATGTTGGGGTCATTGATGTAGTCACAGAGCTGAGAGGATTCAAGAGCCCCACAGTCATTGAACAGCTCAGAAATGAGCTCACTGGTGCTCTGGCGAGTGTATGGATTGGGATAGGCGATGATGGCAGTGATGGCTGTCACCACAATGACCTCCAACACTGGGTACTTCCCCAGCCTGGTAGTTTTACGCCTCCTGCACCAGGCAATGTTGCAGCGTGTGAAGAGGGTTCCCCACAAACCCCCAAAGACTCCAAGCAGGATGAAGGGGAAGAGTTCAGCCATATACCAGGGTGTATGATACTCCACATAAAAGAGAACCAGGCGACTATTTCCAAAGGGGTTGATGGAGCGCAGTGTGAATGCCGCCACCAGGGCTGCGAAAAATGACCTCCACAAGGTTTTCAAGGGAAAGTAGTAACTGACCTGAGACGAACAAATAGAAAATCAGAGAGGGACCAAAGAAAGGACTGCTCAGAGCCTTTCTCTTGGGTGAGCAGTTGGCACTTGATATAAGACACAGACTAAAAATCAAAAGTATATGCTACTCATTTAATCAGTTTATGTTTAGTTGTGACCAAAAAGCACCAACAATGACACTTAAGGGAATTAATGTCTAAACGTAGACTGGTGAGCTGAGTTCTAGATACAGCTTGGTGTTACAGTTTTTACCTAGCAGTCATAAGACCTTGGGTTCAATACCCAGTACTACGAAACTTAGTAAACAAATAACAAAAATGAAACAGCTTTAACCAAAATGATGTTTTTTAAGAGAAATAGAAGGCTGGGAGTATAGTATGCTTACTATGCTCAAGACCCTGAGTTTCATCCCCAACACCACAAAAATGATAAAAAATTAATATACGTACTCATAATACTGTTCATGTCTCAGAAGTCCTCCCAAATTCAATAATTCTTATCGTATGAACAACAGAATAGATAAAGGGCTGGAAAATTCTAGCCTACAAGTCAACTCCTTGCCCAGAAAATATATTTCTATGGCAGCAGAATTTTTATATTTATGAATGGTTAGGAGAACAAAAGTAACTAATTATACCCTGACATATTCATTAAAAGATCAACATCTTTGTGACACATAAGAACTATAAAAGGTGAAATTTCAAAGCGATAAAAAAAGTTTTCAGCCACGTAGCCATGCCTACTCATGGATATTGCTCCAAGGACATAGTCAATTGGCTGTGGCAAAAAGTGTGTGGCTCCTGAAACTCACATAGTTAACTCTCTTGAACTTTTCAGAGGAATGTTTACTAACCCCTGGAATGGTCCATTAGGTTCCCAAATCAAGTTGGAAACCAGTTGGTCTATATTCCCACACTAGAAATCTCCACAAATTTTTTATTGGCAATTTTGAAAACAGTACCTGAGAACACGTTTTAACAGCAGAAATTGTGTTCCTTAATTTATTGCATGAAGTTTGTTCAACAGTTTTTGTGCTGTCAGCCACCCCATATTTCTGGCCACTCAAAACCACAAAAGCCCATTTCCCCCCCCATCTCACCTCCTCCAGACTGAAGAGCACACCTCCTATGGGAGCACCAAAGGCCACAGAGACACCAGCAGCAGCTGCAGCCGAAAGCACCTGCAAAGCGAGAAGTTAAAGGTGGGCTCTGGGGACTTTAGTGCAGGCGGGATGACGTAGGGACTCCAAGAAGTTATGTCCCCTGTAGGTGGGAGGGAGCTGGCTCACCTCACGCCTCTTGCCCTCATTCTTGCTATACTTGGAGAAAAGGCTGCTGAAGAAGTTGCCACAGCAACAAGCCACATGCACCAGTGGCCCCTCTTTCCCAAGGCTCAGGCCAGAAGACACAACCAGTACCAAGGTAACAGTCTTGATTAGCAGCGTCCATTTCCCCAGGTAGCCTCTGATGATAAATCCACTCAAAATGGTCTTTATCTGCAACAGAAGACAGAGAGTGAGGGGAATGAACAACATTGGTCCATGGCTAGGAAAGAAGCTGCAATGACTCTGAACAAGACTAAGTCATAGAGATGGAAGGCTAGCTCAGTTCCTTTGACTAGAATTTTGTACCAGCAAAAGTTTGTGTCTTATTACAGTAGCCCTCGTACCCATGGAGACACATCCCAAGATCCCCAATGGACTCCTGAAACCCAGATTATGTCCAACTGTATATATACCATATTAAAGTTTAATTCATAAATTAAGACCAGTAAGAGATTAACACCAAGCTGGGTGGTAGTGGCACACACCTTTAATCTCAGAACTGAGAATGCAGAGGCAGGGGGATCTCTGTGAGTTAGAGGCCAATCTGGTCTACAAATCAAGTTCCAGCACAGCCAGAGCTGTTACACAGAGAAATCCTGTCTCAAAAAACAAACAAAACAAAACAAAAAAAAATAAAATAAAAAAGAGAGAGAGAGATTAACACCAGTAATTAACAAAATAGAACAATTACAACAACCAAAATAAGTTTCCATTTGTTTTTTTGTCCACCTAACATTAATGCCTTTTTCATTTTAATTAGGCGCTTATAAAATTTTTGCAATTAGGGTGTATATTGGAAGTACCACAGATTGCTTTTCTTTTCTTTTCTTTTCTTTTTGAGCTGGAGGTCTCACTATGTGACCCTGGCTGTCCTGGAACTCACTACCTGGACCAGGCTAGCCTTGAACTCAGAGATTCACCTGCCTCTGCTTCTCCAATGCTGGAATTAAAGGTTTCATGCCCAGTCATAGATTACTTTTTTAAATAGATAATTTTAGCATACAAAATAATGGATTTCACTATGCTGTTTCCATACATATCAATCATATACTTTGTTCCTATTGTGTCATATGAAAACACTTTTGAGTACAAGGAGAACTATATTACTCTTTTGCAGACTTGCTCCATTTTGTCAATGCCAAACAATGGCTTTATTCCTACAAGTACATTTCAATCTTTGCCTAGAATTCAATTGGATGCCAGTATCTATGATGGACTTTGTATACTGAAGTTCACTCCCCCAAGTGATTCAATACTTTTCTACCTCCAACCTCTGCCACAATGAGCAAAAAAGAGTGAATGTTTACCATTGAGCTAGCAACTTTCAAGCCCCTGATTAGATTCATGAGATACTAGGTCAGTTAATCAAATTCCCAGCCAGTTTTCCCAATTGCATGCTATGTTATAGAATAATGTTTTCCCTTTTCAGTGTCAGTTACATAACATGAAAATGTCTTCTTGTGGACATTACTCAGCCAAGTAAAACAACTTCTCAAACATTGAACACAATGCTTCTCAAGCTCATCAGAATCACTTGGCGAACTAGAAAGTATCAAGGAGTAGCTCTCCCTACAGAGATCTAATCAAGGCCTAACGCTCCCTACAGAGATCTAATGTAACTGCCCAGAGATGCAGCCAAGGCAAAGAGAATTTTACAGCTAGATGATTCTAAAATGCTCTGCTCCCATAGAAAGTAACACAAATATCCATAACTTCTCAATATTTAGGGGTCATCACTGAAACACAATTTGTTCTTTCAATGCTTACTTGTATTGTTTATCATGTCAACTTTGTTGACTTGGAGAGGTTATGAATAGGCTAATCCTCACATTTCAAAGGACTGTGCATAGGACTCTTCATCTCAGGATTTTGATAGAGACCTCTTGCCTTTTAATGGGTTAGGGTTAAGACACGATCTCACTATGTAGGCCAAGCAGACCTGCCTCCACCTCCCAAGTGGTGAGATTAGTGGTGTGCATCACAGAGTCACTCAGATAATCGTTTTTCATTTCTCAATTTGAGGAGGAGAGAAAGAGAATGAGGAGAATAGAGAGAGGGAGATGGGGAGGGAAGAGAGAGAGAGAGAGAGAGAGAGAGAGAGAGAGAGAGAGAGAGAGAGAGAGAGAGAGAGAGAGAGAGATCCCAAAATTCTCTGTGAGCTCCTTCCTACAGAACATATGCCAGGACTCTTAACTATAGTCAGACAGTATTTCTTGAACTAGCATTTAACTACTCAGATAAACTAGTGGTGGTTAAACTAGTATTTAACTAGTGGTAGTTGCCCTAATTGAGCCTGTGCTTTGGGGATATCAGAACTCTGTATGGAACAGATGTCTGATTATGCCTGCCACAATCTAGCCCTTTTGTGTTGCCTCAAATAAAAATATCTATAATTTTTGTCAGTTAGTTAATATGGATTTATACCCCGGGGTACATTTTAAAAGCATAATACCACTTAGAAAATCACAAGCATCTAAATTACCCGAGCCTTTGCCAGCAATGACATGTGGTAAATTGAACAATGTAATAGTTATTTTGCAATTCTTTAAAATAATTTTATAAAATTGTCATGATCAAATTAAGAACTAAAGAAGGCAAATTTGTTCCCGGGAGATGCCCAAATCTAATTACTTTAATTTGAACTGATAGAGACTGAAGCAAGCAGGGCTTTAGTGAGATGTATTGCAGAGACTTTTACTAGGTGGTGTTACCCTTAAGACCAAAGCTCTTTCTAATTGATAAATGTTTGTATGAATGTTCATATATTGTGAAGAACAGAAATTAGTGAAGAATAAGTTCTGAGAGGATGCAATTTCTTGTCCAGGTGGTAGTGAACAATCACGGCTTTTCGGAATTGAGAGTTCCAAGAGGAACTCAGTTTTCTCCAAACTCTGAAGTCCAAGAAACCACAAGTGTTCACTTTTATTTTACTTGCGTGTATGTGTGGTTTGTGTGGTATGTGTGTGGTATATGGGCATGCACACAGGTCCATGCACCCATGTATGCACTTACAGACACTAGAGGAGGATGCTGAGTGTCTTCTCTATCACTGTCTACTTACTTATTCCTTGAGGCAGGGTCTCTCACTAAGCACTAAGCTTACTATTTCAGCTGGGCTGACTGGTGAGTGAGTTCCCAGGATATGCCCATCTCTGTTCAACAATACTGGCCCTATGGGGATGTGTAGCCAAGCTCAACTTGTATTTGAATGCTGAATATTCCAACTCAAGCCCTCATGCTTGCAGAGCAAGCACTCTTACCCCCTGAGCTGTCTTCTCAGCTCAAGTGTTCATCTTCAAATGTGCTTTACAGAACTTACACAGTGCATTTATTACACAAAAATTCTCTAACTTAGCATTTAAAATGGTTATAGTGATGCACATCTGTAATCCCAGGCAAGACTCAGGAAGCTCAGATTAAAAGATTGATGAAAGTTCAAGACCAGCCCAGGCTACATTGTAGTTCCACAGAGTTAGAGCTATATAGTGAGGTTTTTTTTTTTCAAAGAGATTTTCACATTAAATAATCAAAATATTGTGGAAGAAAATTCTTAGAGGGATGAGCAATTTTGAAAACTGGCTTTGGACTAGTTTGTAGCTCAATAGCTCAAGGCCTTAGGTCTCACCCTCAGCATCATAAAGTGATGTGAATATGTACCTATGTGCATTGTGTCCAAAGTCTGCTTTTGTGCTATCTCCCATACAACATATTCCAGCAGATCACATGACTCCAGTAAGACACAGTAGTTTTTCTAAGCAGTTCAGCCCATATCTTTGCTAATGTAAAGTAGCATGGCCCCAATCCCTACTTTAAGTCAGTTTCCACAGTGATCTGGCTTTTGACTCAGAGAAGCTTCTTTTCATACACACAAAAAAATACGGATTTACATAAACTTTTCACTTTGTCCATCTTCTTCAAGAACCATGGTTGGTTCTGTCTTCCTAGGTGAAGGAGTTCCAGCTCTACTACACTTACAGTGCAGGCATTGCTACTGCTGACTCATACCAGCCCACCTCAACTGTGAAATCTCCATTGGTTCATAAAACTTTCAGACTACCACGAATGCTTTGAAAACAGAAAAATGACTCTATTAAGTAATTGTGGCTAAAAGAGTGCTGGTAGGACAAGTGCTCTTATACTTTCCACCACGTTTAAGAAATACAAGGGCAGATATCTTTGGAAGCTCTGTTTGCCTCACCAGCAGAAGCTTCCTTCTTCCCCCTCCACTTCCAATAATTCCATTGCATTTCTTGATCAAGTTAGTACATAGGTTGCTTCATTTTAGCTACCTGTGATTGCCATATAAATGGACCGATACTTAAGGTATCCATTCACTTTTTACTTTCCACACTTGACATCACTGTTATGAGTATTATCCATGTCACATGTCATTTTATCACATAAGAAACTTGAATGTGCAACTGTCACCAAAAATGGTATCTACTTTGGGGTCAGTAACATCTCTCAGCAGGTAAAAGCTCTTGCCAATGTACTTAGTGATCTTAGTTCAATTCCCAGCACCCACATGAAGATGGAAGGAGAGAACTGATTCCACAAAGTTGTCCTCTGATCTCTACACAGGCACTATGGCATGTGTAGAGCCCCACTTCAACCGTGTACATCACATGATTGCACACAATGTAATAATAAATAAAAATGTCTTTTAAAAGATGTCCACATTGGAGAAGAAACATTCAAGCAGCTACTCAAAGACAAAGGTCACATCTGTCTACAAGATCACCAGTGCAACCATTCATCGCTGCTTCTTGGAAAGGAGACAAGGATTGATCCAGTGTGCATTTTATTGCTGTTTTAAAATCCCTAATGGCCATCTTCCTGTTTGGAGAAAAGCTTGAGTAAAAACATGCCTACTAGTGGACAGTAAGATCATGAAGTGGGACAGTAATAATTCTCCATCCTTTTTATTGTTCAGCATGCCTTAGGCTTTGAGTGTTAAAACAGTGAGTTCTGAGATAATACTTGCTTTAAAAATGCAAAATGCCACCCATGCTATTCATTCATCAGAGAAGAATTTAAGCATAATGAAAATTTTGAGATTGCTTACAGATAATTTCCCCCAAGAGAAATTCAAGGTGAATGCAGAAAAGTGTCTCTAGTTGAACTGAGCTGTATAGGAAAACATAAAATGTACATTTCAATATTAGCCTCTAATCTACCATCTCACACCTGTGCTAGGGTGCCATGGCTGTCTACACCTGCTGTGACCACTTTCTGTTGATTTTGGAATATACCCCACCTTAGTTCTCACAAACTGCAATGCTGCTAGCCCCCACTTTCCACAAGCAAACATCAAAGTTTTTCAACATGTGAAATATTTATTTATTGTAGCATTTACATATGTGGAGGCAATTTAACATGTGTGACACTGTGTTACTGTTCTTAGAAGATTTCTCTCCTCCCATATGTCAGGTTTTGAGTATTGTGACCACACTCTGACCCATTTTTCTCATAATTCTGTGATTTTTAGTGTGCTATTTTGCATAGCACCATATGCTTTCAAAGTGTACACACTTCATTAAAGCAGAATTAGCTATTGAGGAAATCGGGTAGAATGAGGTAGTTTGAATGAGAATGGCCCCCCATAGGCTCATATGTTAGTCATCAGTGAGTGGCACTATTTGGGAGGGATTAGGAGGTTTGGCCTTTTTGGAAGAATTATATCACTGAGGGATGGGCCTTGGGTTTTCAAAAACACAAGACAAGCCTGGTGGTTCTTTTTCTTTCAGATGTAGAACTCTGAGTTACTTCCCCAGCACCATGTCAGCCTGCATGTCACCATGCTCCCCATCATGATGACAATGGTCTAAACCTCTGAAACTGTAAGCTAACCCCAATTAAATGCTTTCCTTTATAAGAGTTGCCATGGTCATGGCCTCTTCACAGCAATAGAACACTAAATAAGACAGGTTAGGTAAAGCAGTTTGGTTGGATGTTCTTGAAGTAATATGTCAAAATAAATTGCCAAAAATTCAGTATGACATATCAATACATATTTTACACTCTTGAAACAAGTCTATATTGTACTTTTTCAGTACATCTTCCTTATATATCTTCTATCCCTTTGTGTGACCAGCATTGGTGTGGGAAGACACAACACAGGGTTAACTGGACTGGGGATGTAGTTAAGTTAGTAGAGTATTTCCCTAGCATTCACAAAGCTCTGGGTTCAAACCCCAGCAACACATAAACCCATGCTGGTAGTCTATACTTTCAATCCCAGCACCTGGAAAATTGAGGAAGGAGGATAAGTAATTCAAGGTCATCTTTGACTACATAGTAAGTTTTCAGATAGCATGAGATACATGGAAAGCTGTATCCAAAGATAAATAAATACTTTTTTTTTAAAGTAAGAGGTGAAACAGGGACCCAGTGCCACCATCAGCTAACAACTCAACTTTCAACTTACCCTCTCCACTGCTACGCAAGGAACAATGCAAGTGTGCTAACTAGAGATAATATGCAAGACATTTTATGATTTCTGGTTAGCATTTTGCCCAGGATATTCCAGGCGTCAGCTCAATGACCATCATTTGACCCAGCAGATTCTCCCAGGCTTCAAGTTTGATCTCAGTGAATGATGAAGTCACTTCCATGATACAGTGGCTACATCAAATGGCTGAAAATTATTTACAAGAACTGTACTTTCACACAGGCATAGTCACAGTGTACGCACTGAAAGCAGAATTAATTTTTTTAATTATTTATTTATTATATATACAGTGCTCTGCCTACACGAATGTCTGCACACCAGAAGAGGGCACCAGATCTCATTATAGATGGTTGTGAGCCACCATGTGGTTGCTAGAAATTGGACTCAGAACCTCTGAAAAGCAGCCAGTGTTCTTAACCTCTGAACCATCTCTCCAACCCCCAGAATTATTTTTCAAAGATTCCTATTACCCTGTCACCAGAAAAAAAAAAAAGTGGCAAAAGCTTCTGATCACCAGTAAACTTTCCCAGCAATACTCCTCCACTACTGTCTGTTTTTCACATTTCATCATAGAGTTACTACAGTAGCATGTTTACATGAATGCTTTGTGAACCCAGATTCTTCAGGCTTTAAGAGTTTATCTTGGCTTCTAAGGCAGAGGTCTAATCATTGGAGAAGCAACAGATCAAAACTACTGAATACAGCACCCATTGTAAAGCCAGACTGCTGGGTTCACCTCACAACTTGCCAGCTTAGAGACTTTAGGGAAGTTACTTAACTGGTTTTTATTCTAGCTTCCTTAACTACTAAGTGAACTCACTGTGCCTATCTAGTAAGCTTATTGTGAGGATTATAGCTAGCACACAGGACTTCAGCCACAACTTACCTCAGGTATGCCAGAGCCACAGGCATATGGTGCAAATACACGTACCAGGGAGACAGCCAGAAATGCAAACAGCAATGCCCATAGAATGTACATTAAGTAATTCAGAATGTAAGCACTGGCACCCTAAAGAGCAGACACAAAACAAGGAAGAAGCAATGAACCATAGCAGACCTGAATAGTTTACCCAACCCCACCATCTCCATCAGGAAAGTGAAGCTGTGATGGGCTCAGAGAGGTTCATCCCAGGCCTGCATAAACAAAAGAAACAATTGTTGCTATTGCTACAGTCTCTACACACAAACAACATCAGGTGTTTCTCCAGGAGCTATTTACACAAACCTTCCAGGGGATGAAACCTCAGCAGTAATGGAAAGCAAGGATGATGCCGGGTTGTAATCACCACTTGCACTGTAGTTAATAGAAGGTGTGGCGCAGAAAACTCTGGCTGTGAGACTCTGGATGATTTGTTTTGTCTTGTCTGTGGTGGGATGGCTTCTCTTAGCTTTCATTACAGCCACACCCAGACCACAGTGAATAAGCGTCAGTTCTGTGTTTGAGAAGGCTGCTTCTCTAACTGTGGTCCATGGACCAACAGCATCAGTATCACCTGGGAGGTTGGCAGAAACATAACCTGTGGGTCCCACCCTAGGGCTGCCAAATCAGATACTTCACACAGGCACATAGCCCAGTGCATTTTAACAAGCCTCTGGAAGATTCCAGCAAGTGCTAACATGTGACAGGCACTCATAGAAGGGAGCTGCTTGAACATCCTCTTCAGAAGAATGTATTGGACCATTTACTCCATTTTCTTTTCTGATACAAACACAGAGTCTGGGCAGGTTCTCCTTTCTCAGGGCGTCAGCTTTGTCTCACCATCTGGATTATTCAAGTGAGAGAAAAGGAAACAGAGATCACCTACCTGTCAGGCCATGGCCATGGCCACATATGTGCCTGTTAAATGTAAGGACACGTTCCTGGAGACTGCAATGCAACCACATACTTCATACTCTGTGTGGTGAGAAATCAGCCCAAGGAATACCTTTCATCCACTTAAATAAATACATTTTAGAGGCTAAAAATAACTTCTCACTCTTTTAAAGAGTAGTTCTTTGAAATAGAGAATAAATCTTACAACCAGTTGAAAGGGTAGGCACCTCTATTTCCCCTGTAACACATGCTGCAAGTAGGAAAAAAGATGGCAGTCAGCCAGACTCATCTGCCCAGGTCCATCAACCCAAGTAGAGAACTTCTCTTTGGAAATACTGGAAAGCACTGCGAATGTGTGAGATTTCAAGAGCCCTGACTATTTCTAAGACGTGAAGGAATATTCCATCAAGACAGAGGTTTAGTAAAATGGCAAAGTACATTCCAAATGTCTTCAGCTGTGAAAGCCAGTCAAAAGAAACAGGAAAGGAAGGAGAAGTCCAAATAGATCTCCTCCCAGCATACTCTAGCTTTAACAGTTCTCCCATTACCACTAATGTGAAGCTTGTTACCTAGCTCCTTTCACCTGGCTTTCTGATCTATCAATGACCCTCCTCTTCTTCCTCCTCCTTTTGAATCAGAGTTTCAATATATAGACTAGGTTGGCCTCGGCCTCTGCAAATATTCATTGTAATCTGAACATCTAAATGCCATGAAGATAAGTACTAGATCTGTGGGTCAGACATATATATCCCAGTGCCTGAGACATGCTTTTCCCAGAAGCATCTCTGATTGGGTCAGAAAAGTTCAATGGAAGATGGTAATGGAAACCACAGTGAGACACTATTTCACACTCACTAGGTTAGTTACAGTGAAAGCAGAAACTAACAAGTGCTGGAAAGAAGGTAGACAAATCAGGACCCTCATAAACTGCTCATGGGAATGCAAAATAGTGCATCCACTTTGGAAACCATCCTATCAATTCTTCAAAGTTAAATCTAGAGGTCACCTCTTACCTAGAAGTTACACCTATACCCAAGATGAAATATATGCCCCCACCTTGAACACAGATGTTCATGGTGACATCGTTCAGGCTAGCCAAAAACAAGAAACACATGTTCATCAAATAATATTCCACCTATCCATACAGTGGAGTATCATACAGCAATGAAAAAGAAGGAAATGCCGACTTATGCTATAGCATGAAGGAACTTAGAAAACAATATGCTAAGTGACACAAAGTCCACACAGTGCATGGATTCATTTAATTGAACTGTCTAGAAGGTGGAAATTTATAGAGACAGAAAGGACATTGGCAGTTGCTTGGGGCTAGCAATCAATAACACTGGACCAGAACAGAAAATTGTGTGTGTGTGTGTGTGTGTGTGTGTGTGTGTGTATTATCGATAAAAATATTCTAAAATTTGATCATGGTCAGCATTACACAATTCTGTGAATATGACCAAAGCCACTGAATTGTACTTTCTGTGGAAAGATCTGATGAACTATAAATTGGCTCCCTGAAAGTGTTACTTTAAAAACAGATGACATCTTTTCTTCTGGCTTAAAACATGAAAATCAACTCCATTTCTTCAGCACAAATAAGAAACCACCTTTGGTAAGAAAAAGGCAAATATACCAGCTATGATAACTCATGCTTGAACTTGAGAAGCTGAAGCAGGAGAATTACTGTGAGTTCCAGGCCAGGGTGGGCTATAGGGAAGACCACGCCTGAAAAATCAGAAAAGAGATAGGGGGGAGAGGGGAAGAGAGAAACGATAGACAAAGTGAGGGCGAAAGGAAGAGAGGAAAGGGGCTTCCTAAAATACACATAGAATGCCCATGAGCGAGGGGCTCCAGGTGAGCACGGGCTTTCCAAGTAAATTCTGAGCAGCCGCAGAGCTCAAGGGAAGCAAGCAGCAGCGCTATTTAAGCCAAAGCTTATTATCTGAAGGTGAAGTCATGGGTGTTCAGGAATTGAGGACACAGATACACACCTCTGACTGGCTCAGCAGAAGCTCTGACCACTTCTGCCACAGGGGACACTTGTCCCTGTCCTCGAAAGTGGTCTCATTGGAGGTCCAGCAGCATTGCTCATGGCTGTACCAGAAGGCAGACAGACAGACCCCCTCCTTCAGGTCTGTCATCCAGTCAACAGCAAGATCAATGACCCCAGCCAAGGTACCTAGGAAAAGAATGAATCATGGAGAAGAATTGTCACAAGGAAAGAAAGAAGACAGGGCGCCCCCAAAGCTGAAGGTCCACCCATGCCATGATACCGCCACTGAAACTGACAGCTGCTTTCAGTCACCTGGAAGCCACTCAAGCATTTATGGTATGAGCCAGGCAGTGGGTAGCTCAAAGAGCCACAAAGGCCCTAAGATCTCAAATCAGGTAGGAGGGCTATACGGTTCCACTCTTAGGCTGTGAGGGCAGATGGGAGTTCATGATTCACTCATCTTTCTCCAAGTTTTTTAGTTGTCGATACATTATCTTGAAAAATTACCCCCCCCCCAACTTTGGGAGATGGCTCAGCAGATAAGATTGCTTTCCATGCAAGCATGAGGACCTGCGTTCAAATCCTAGCACCTACATAAAACCTTGGCATGACCATGTGCGCCTATACCCCCAGTGCTGCGGGAGGCAACATGAAGATACTGGAAGCTCACTGGACAGCCAGCCTAGCCAAAAGAACAAGCTTCAGGTGCAGTGAGAGATCCTGTCTGGAGGGAATACAGTAGAAATAAACACAGGAAGAAGCCCTTGTCTGGCCTCCAAATACGTGTGTACTGGTGGACTCACACACACACCCCCCACACGTAACACACACCACATGCACTTAACACGTGAGCAAATCAACAACCCTTCCCTTTCCGATGGCTCTTTCTCATCAACATTTAAGTCGCCCCTAGTCCACATTCCCCTCCAGACACTGTCCTGTAGCTTTCCTTCTCTCCTCTTCCCCTCAGTAGAGTTCATTCCTTCCTTCCACTACGAAAGCAATCACCTGTACCCAGGCTTCATTTTCCGGAACAGGTCATACAACACACAACCAAGAGGCCATATGGAGCCCACTACCTTTTTGTTAATAAAGCTTCATCCCAGCATAGCCACACTTTATCACTGGACACTAACTGTGGCTACTCTTCCTGCCACAGTGTCAGAGTCGAATTATAGAGAGTGGAACTACACAGCTCAAGAAACTGTAAACACTTATTTGCTAGCCTTTTATAGAAGGAAGGTTGCCAATCCTAGTTTTAGGCTTCTCGGCATCATTTGAAACTGCCAAGCACTCCATTCTTCCAGAAGCTCATTGCTTCTGCAATGTTTAGCTCTTCTGTTTCCCTTGATCTTTCCTGCTCCTCCACCTGGCTTTCTAAAGCGGTATTTCCTCAAAGCTTGACCCTAAATCTTTTTTCTCCTTTCGTATTGTGCATTCTTCCCTGACTGTCTTATTTGTATCCCTCTTGCTACTGAGCCCTAAAGATATATCCAGGCCCACAAAACCCCAGCCTTCAATAACAGATTGTGTGTGTGTGTGTGTGTGTGTGTGTGTGTGTGTGTGTGTGTGTGCGCACACACATGCATATGCATGTATATGTATGCAGATGTATGTGTATATATGTGTATGTGTATGCATGTATATGTGCTTATGCATGTGTGTATCTGTAGTTCGACTAGTTTATGTACTAGAAAGAAAAGGCTTTGTCATTCAGTTTTTGTGCCACAGTTAGGGTCAGGCCAGGCATCTAGACCTGAGTCCACTTCAAAAGACACTCATAATGTTCAACTCCATTTACATGAAATGTCCAGAACAGACAGTGAAAGGAAGTAGACTGGTAATGGTTTAGATCCTTCCATAGCTAAAAGGTGCAGATGATATTTAGGTGGGAATGACAGAACATGTTACAAAATTGGTCATGATGATAACTGCACAACTCTGTAAATATACTAAAAAACCATTTAATTGTACACATTAAATGGGTTAATCATGCAATATGTGTAGTATAATTCAGGAAAACTGTTACACAGAGAGAGAGACAGACAGAGAGAAAAAAAGAGAAACTGGTGAGGAAGAGGCTCAATCAGAAAAATGTGATTTTTTTAGAGAAGTGATCAGAGAAAGTTTCAAGTGGAAAGTGATATTTGAGCAAGATCTGATGATCACCCTGAGATCCATCATTTTTCAGCCACTTACAGTCATATTATTCTTCATCCCATCAATCTCCTTTGCTGACCAAGTTGTTTTGTGAACCATCTATGCTCTGGTCTATGGTGCAACAGTGCCCCCTTATGGTAAGTTTTGGTAAATTAGTTATGCAGAGGATACGTGTGATTTCTCTATGAGGAGATCCCAAATTAAACCAAGGGAACGTCCATCCAGGCAGTTGGACACCTGAGTCCTCCCCACCACCATTGGAGCCATGGGAAAATGGTGCTACTTTCTAGATCTCCCTCCAATATGCATCCAAATTCAAAGAACACTGGGGGTGCCTATCTCCAAAACCCCTCCATTCTACACCTTCCTTCTCTTCCTACTGTGTCCATAGAACCAGCTTTCTAAGTGTTTGTTGCCTCCAGTTGCACATTAGAATCATGAAGGAAAGGAGAAGGTCTTTACTCAGCATCATAGTGTTTTCTCCAGAAAGGTTGTTTAACACCAATCGTCATAGCCTCCTAAAAAGAAGTTAACTTCAGCAAATAACTACCACAAAGAGCCAAATATCTACTATCCATGAAATGGCACTGAGATTATGACAATGGAGGATGAGAAGTCTCTAAGGGTAGGAACAGTGTATACTCTAGATGCAACTGTCCTGGACTCATCTTGGATCCCGTGGTGGTTAGCATTATTTTGAATGTCATGCATTTTAGGGCTTTCCAGTAGTAGGAAAAGCCCACCATATATGGTGCCTGATGCTTCAAAATTATAAATGCTTCTATATTTTGTAATCCTATACATAGCTAGGTATAACAGAATATAAAATGCGTGCTTTCAGTAAAAACCCAGGGTAGTCATAAATCTATTGAGTGTGTGAACAAGGCTAAGCAGTGCTGTTAATTACAACTTTCCAGAAGCCCACACTTGTTTTGTGAGCCATTTCTGTTTTGGTCTGTGGTGTCACAGTTAGGGTTAGGCTCCTGCCTAAGTCTTGGTAGATTCTAGAAAAAAAATATTTGTTCAGGTATTTTGACCTTAAATAGTTCAAGCAATAAATCCCTTTCATTGAGACAGAAGGTGAATACTCCATAGCTTCAGTATCTCCCAAACATCTGGAGTTTGGGGGTGCTAGGAGAACAGTACACATACATATCTTGCACATACCTGCCAGCAGCCCGATAAGCAGCATCACCACCCATCCTGACCATGCATCCAGCAGGCTCTTGATGAACTCCCAGATCGACTCCTTACTTTTGCTGGTTATCTGGAAATGAAGTACATACAGCAGTTGATCAGAACACAATTCCAGTTCATGCTTCTTTCTCTGAAGTATATTCCTCAGGAAACAAGGTGACTGAGAAGATGAGTATAATCATGCCACCAAATTCCCAGTCATGCTGTTCATGCAACAATGCAGGACAATGATTAAATGGGCTTTCTGGGGGCTGGAGAGATGGCTCAGCAGTTAAGAGCACTGGCTATTCTTCCAGAGATCCTGAGTTCAATTCCCAGCAACCACATGGTGGCTGCCAACCATCTATAATGAGATCTGGCGCCCTCTTCTGGCAGGCAGGCAGAATACTGTATACATAATAACTAAATTTTAAATAAAATGGACTTTCTGGTTCACAAAGCTAAAAGGATGCAATACAGGATCAGTGTCTCCCTTCACAATGAATTTTAGATAATCAAAGAACAGATAAAATTCAATATGGATTTTTAATTGTGTTCTTTTGGGGGTACTCTAACTTTTTAGACATCATTATGACCTTTATTTTTCTTTTTTCTTTTCTTTTCTTTCTTTTTTTTTTTTTTTTTTTGGTTTTTCGAGACAGGGTTTCTCTGTGCAGCTTTGTGCCTTTCCTGGATCTCACTCTGTAGACCAGGCTGGTCTTGAACTCACAAAGATCCGCCTGCCTCTGCCTCCTGAGTGCTGGGATTAAAGACCACCCGTCTATGACATTTTTATAGCATGCCTTTTCCCTCCCCATTTTGTGGGAGCCTTGCACTCCTCTAACATCATTATCTCCCCAACTATTTTTGGTTCCCTATTTCACCCATGTCTGCTTCTTCCAAGTCTCTGTCTCTGATTCCACCTGACCTGCCTCCCTCTGTACCCAGAACCTGTACCCTAACTTTTCCAGGGTCCTGTTTCCACACACCCCCCTTCTCTTTAAGTGCCTAAGCCACCTTAGCCATGTCTCAAGCTTCAGTAGACATCTGCAGGTAGGAGTCTCTCACTCTCCAAGGTGAGCTCCAACTTCACACTGAGCTGCACAGCATGCTGTCTTCCAGCCCCTACTGCAGGACATTCCCCACTCCACTTCCTCAACTCATTAGCAAAAGGCTCACTTTGTCTGACAAGAGTCTATGGTTCTATGACTCCATTTCACTCTATTCCCTCCTCTAAAGCCCATCATGGCTTGACCCTGATCCTATGTCCATCATTTTTACGGCCTCCAGGAAGAACTCCTCCTTCCTCCTGACCACACTCCTAAGCTTCCTGTTTTTCTCTCTGCAGCACCTCCTTACTGTCCTCTGTGGCCTTGACCAACTCCTCCCCATGGGCCATTTAATCATTCCTAACACAGCCCCATAGCTCACTCGTCTAGACTCATCTCTATTCATCTCCTTCTGCGAACCCTCCAACAACCCCAAGACTCCCCTGAATAACCTGAATGTGTAACATTCTTTCATGCTTCTGTAACTTAAAAAAAAAACAACACTCCTGATATTTAGGATCCTTTCCCTCTCTCTGACTACCAAACTCTTGGTCACACTGAGAGACAAAATTAAAATCTTACGTCTCTGAAAAATGCCTTCTCTAGTCATTCCTCCTAAATGAGCCCACAGCATTTGCCATATAACTGCACTGTGTCCCACTCTAGTATACACCGAATGCCAACTAGATGTCTGTCAGCGTGGTCTCACACACACACACACACACACACACACACACACACACACACAATCTCATACAGTCTTCAATGTAATCACTTTTATTCTCAAGGATGATTAAATGAGGCTCAGAAATGACAGCCTCAAACTCAACCACCATGAAGGTGTCAAGGGCAAGATGTGGTCCAAATGTGTCTGACTCCAGGGTCCCTTTGTTGCTTTCACTGGTCATATTTCTACCCAAAGTACCTGACGGTGTAACTCTCAGTCTTTGTCTCTGCTTCTGATACTAGCGCTTTCCTTTTGTGGAACCAACATGTGATACATAGCCTCAGACTCAGAACATAACCTACAGATGGAACCATTGTGGAACTATTGTTAAAGACCCCTTTAGCATAGTACCACCTACCTTTCTGTGTCTGTCAGTGTCCCGGGACTTTTCCCTCAGCCAGTCTATGGTGTGGAAGTCCTCATAGGTCCCTACATCAGGGAAGGGCTCATCAAGGAAGTCCATTAGGTTCCCAGAGGCACTCATGGTTCCTGCACTGACCATGCTAGTTACTCCTGGAAGAGAAGTCCACCTGTTAAAAATGTAAACAGGGCTCGTGTGTAGCTCAGGACAAGAGTGTCTTTACAGCATTCATGAGGGCTTGGCTTACATCACCAGCTCCACAAAGAAACAAAATAAGCATGACCACAACATGAATATAGCACCATAATCCAAGAACTGTATCTACTTTTCTTTTTTCTCTCTCTCTCTCTCTCCCTCTCTCCCTCTCTCTCTCTCTCTCTCTCTCTCTCTCTCTCTCTCTCTCTCTCTCTCTCTCTGGCATTGTGTGTGGTGTATTATGTGTGGTATGTTGTGGAGTGTGTGTGTGTGTGTGTGTGTGTGTGTGTGTGTGTGTAGTGTGGTGGGAAAGGGTGTGTGTGGTATTGTGTGTGGTGTGTTATGTGTGTTGTGTTGTGTGTGTGTGTTGGTGTGGGGTAGGGTGTAAGGGGTGCATGTGGTGTGTGTGTGTGTGTGTGTGTGTGTGTGTGTGTGTGTGTGTGTGTTATGGTGTAGTATGAAGGGGCTGAGGGGAAGTGTGTGTGTGTGTGTGTGTGTGTGTGTGTGTGTGTGTGTGTGTGTGTATGGTGCTGTGTGTTGGATGGACCTTTCACATGTTAGGCAAGTACATTACCACTGATTTCTTTTCTGTTTGTTTGTTTGTTTGTTTGTTTGTTTGTTTCTAGACAGGGTCTCATGTAGCCCAGACTGGCCTTGAACTTATTATGTCACAGAAAATGACCTAGAACTCCTAATCTTCTTACTTCTGCCTCTTGGGTACTAGGATTACAAGCATGTGCCACCATTCCTTGCTTCCATTTTTCCATAACATAAAAATTATTTCCACATCAGTATCTCTGCTGTAATGTAATAGGTACACAGTTCATCACTCACTAGTTATCTTCTGCAAAGAATACTGAACACTGAATTAGGAAATACCAAGCAATGCCCCCAAACAAATCCTACAAGCCTCTGCTCACAACTTTTTTTTCCCAACCTATCACTATATCACCTTTTTTGTTTGTGTTTCTATTTAAAGACATCTTATTTGATAGACATTACTCATTCAGTATCCTGGAACTCAACCAACTGCACCATTGCTGAGGCCTGATCGAAGTTTCTCTATCAGATATATTTTCTCCACAAAGCACTTGCAAACAATGCTCTAGCACATAGGAACACAGGCAGCACTATAACACTTTAAACAGCAAAATTACTGACAAAAGAAGCACAGGCTTGGTTGGGTTTTTTTGGTTTGGTTTGGTTTGGTTTGGTTTTTCGTTTTTGTTGTTGTTGTTTTGTTTTTTTGTTTTTTGTTTTTTGTTTTTGAGACAGGGTTTCTCTGTGGAGCTTTTGGAGCCTGTCCTGGAACTCACTTTGTAGCCCAGGCTGGCCTCGAACTCGCAGAGATCTGCCTGGCTCTGCCTCCCGAGTGCTGGGATTAAAGGCGTACGTCATGGGGGTTTGTTTTTAATGAGGAACTAAATAAAACAGGAAAAGGCCACTTGTTCACAGTACAACCATGGAAACACAAAGGAAGACAGTTATCTTCTTAAAACCACAGGTGCCAGATGTGTTTCTGGTGAGTTTAACTTTTCACCATTCTACACAATTTCCAAGTCAGTGACTAACCTTTAAAGCACCACTACTACTGACTTGGTTTGGTTCTTGAATGTCCCCTAAAAGTCCATGTATTACACACTTTATCCTCAAGGTGGTGCTATTGGAAGGTAGTGAAACCTTGAAGAGGTAGAGCTGAAGGGGAGGGGGTCCTTAAGATGATAAGACTTGTGCCTCAAACGGGAGTGCTGGGCCCTAGCTCCTTCCCCTCACTCCCCTCTCATGTCCTGGCCATGAAGTGTCGGTTCCAGCACAAAATCATATCACGATGGACACTGTCACCAATCCCAAAGCAAGGTGGCTAATTGATCACAGACTGGATTCTCAAAAACCATGAACCCCACAAACCCTTCTTCTTTTTAGGTTGACTAGATCAGACATTTTGTTACAGTGATGCTAAGCTCAAAAGCACACAAGATGGCAAATTTTAGTGAATAGGCAAAATTGCAAATACAGTTCACAAATAAATATGAGTTTCTTTCCATATTCTACAAAAGGAAACAGTCAGAATGGTAAATAAATAATAACGAAAATCATTGATTCTCCTGAGAGGCAGAATAGATGAAAGAAATAAACAGCCTCTGTGGTTATCATCACAGATGTCCAGATGTACAACAGTAGCTGCAGAGCAACTTTTAACCACAAGTGACAATCAAGGCAATCTGTAGGTGGCAGCAGCCCTCTGAGAAAGGAGGGCCACCACGGATATCAACAAAAGCAATAGGACAGACCACTGACAGCCAAGAGCCATACAAAGCTCTGGGAACAGACACTCATTTAAGTTTTTCTTAAAACACAGTCAAACAGGTCTTGCTGCCAGGACAGTAAAAGATTTGAATGTCTTAGATAACAATTCCATTCCAACTGTTCAGGCTGCCCTGGCCTGGAAACCAATCAGTCATAAACCTCCCATGTTCTGCCACCCTCAAAGTCTCATTTCCAAATCACATAGGAACCAATTTGAGGCACCGAAAATTTTTGTAGCAGGACCAATGCTCACTCTGATTAACGGAAAAAAAATAAACAACTTCTACAAAGACAAGAGCCTGGAAAATGCACCAAAAAAAAAATTACTTTGGCAAAAAGCATGGAAATTTGAATTATAGTATGAAGGCCACAAAAGACTTGGAATCAATGGTTAAAACATTGAAGGTGGTTATAAAAATATTTGTGTTCAGACCTCTCTCATTGCTTTATGTATTAACATATTTAGAGGACTCAACCATGTCCCGATGAAACTGCACTTTAATCAACTAGAAAAGTCACTATGAACAAAATAGGGTAATCACCTTACAAGCAATAAAATGGCCACAGTGACTGATTTATTGAGCATCTGTGTAACTCAGCTGCTTTAAAACTTTCAAAGTTTGAGGTCTGAGCTGTGCCAAGTTGAAAAGTACACCTACTGATGAGTACCCAGGGAAGAATCACATTGCAGAAGTCAGTAGCAACCAATAACATAACCAATAATATAAGGGAAGGAATAAAATTAGAAAGCAGGGTTAGCATTCTCAGTTTAAAAAAACACGATGGTCACAATCTCTTATGACATGTGGGAAGGGAAACCTCTGATGAGGGAAAAGTAAGATGACAGGCTGTAGACCCACAATGCAGAGGTCTTGTCAAAAAACAAAAACAAAAACACCTCAGCTAATGGAAGAATTGCAGAGACTTGGTCCTGCTACTGAAGGAAAGTTGGTGCTGGACAGAGTGCCTCATGCATATAATCCAAGTACTTGGAAGATATGGCAGAAAGATTGCCATGAATTCAAGATCAGACTGGGCAACAGACTGAGATGTATCTCAAAGAGGGGGGAAGGGGACTACCTGAAATCTAACCAAGTTTCTACTGCAGCAGCTACTCCAGGCTACAGTGCTACAATGAAAAAGCCACTTTAGAGAATAAATTCATCAGCAAACTTTTCATTTGGGGAAGAGGTGGAAGTGTGTGGGTGTGTACAGACAAGTGTCAGGGGGCAACCCCGGGCGTTGCTCTTTGCCTTCTACCTTCTTAGAGAGATTATCTATTATTCACCACTGTGCATATCAGGCTAACTGGCCCACCAGCTTCCTTGGCTTTCCCTGTCTCATTCTCATCTCATCACAGGAGCTCTAGAATTACACATAAATGTGCTACCACATCCAGTTAGTTATACATGGGTTCTGGGGATCTGAATTCAAGTCCTATGACTACATGGCAAGAGCTATCTCCACAGCCCATTCATCTGTAGACATTGATGGAGGATGTCAGGTACGATGACTAGACCCAGAATTAGTAGGGAAAAGTAAACATGTTATAATCAACTGTGTTTGGATTACCTCCCAGGAACCCCCAAAGGAGTTGCTGATGTCTCTCCTGAGATTGAGTTTAAAAAAACAAGGAGAAGGGACTAAGGGATGGCTGGGAAGAGTGCAAATAGAGACAACATGGGTGAGAAAAATGAAAGAAACTCTGTCTGGGATCCAGTGGGATATCACAAATGGAGGAGTAACTTGAGTCCAGCCAGATATGGGAGCAACAAGAAGGAAGTATGTGGCTTGGATCAGACACCATAATGAACTGACCAATTCTGTCAGCTCAGTACGGTATATGAACCCTGAACACATCATCTTTTGCACCTGAGAAGGGGATCATTGTTTCTTCCACTTATTTTTTGTTCCTTCTTCCCAACAGGTACATTTTGCTGGCGTATGATAGCTCTGCATATGACCTTGAAGCCACTGTATCAAAGAATGACAGCATCCTACAGTCTGATTCTGAAATCCCTTGTTGACCTGAATCACCTACATCAAGCCTCTGCAAATTGCATCCCATAGGAACATTCAGGTCATTTAATTTTAGAAATAAAGTTTTATCAGCATACAGTCATGCCCACTCGGGCTCTGGAAAATGAAGTCTAGTGGAGTCAGCTCTGCAGAAAGGAAAAGCAACTCCAGGAGTGAAGGAGATTGAAGCAATGGATGACAATGCCCAGAAGAGATAGGATGGAACAGAATTTTCCTTAGTTCATGCTGGTGGTATTCTGCCTGAGAAGATAGCATCTCTCCTATACAACCATTATTTACCTACAAAGGGTCTTTGTAAAGCATGCAGGACACCTAGATCTTTTATCTAATCCCTTAAGGCAAGAAAATATCTGTAAGGCTTAGTCTCAGCATGAAGGCCCCAAAAGGCCAGGATCAAAGTCTTCAACAGCAGATGAAAACAGACTCTATCCCATAAACTCAATTCACCAGAGCCCAACAAAGACAAGCATGTGTTAGCAGTGATAGCATCAATGGTGCCACTTAGGACTTTGATGTTAAAAGCTACTCTGAATGGGTCAGCTCACCCTCAGAATAGGGATCTGTATCATTTAAAGGAAACCTAGCCTGTGCATAGTTGGGCGTTGGTAAAGATGTAATGGATTCTAG